CGAGACAGAAGAAAAGTAATGAGAGTCAAATCAAAAGCAAAGGCTGGGTCACTATACCCTACGTGAAGGGAACATTTGAGGCGTTTGCACGGGTGATGAGGAAACACCATTTCAGCACTTCAAGGAGACCACTGACAACCCTCAAACAATTACTGGTGCACTCCAAAGACAAGACTGACATTTTAGACAAAACAGGAGTTGTATATCAAATTCCACGCAAAAATGTCAGCAGTCATATATAGGTGAACCTGGAAGGAAATTTGGTACACGTCTGAAGGACATTCATCAGATCCACACGCAAAACATCCGCCACCCAGTACAATAAATCGGCATTAACAGATCACGCTAACACCCCAAATCTCATCGTTGATTGGGACAATGCCAAGATAGTTGAAAGGGATTAACACACAAAAACGAGACAAATCAAAGAAGCAATCAATATCAGAAAAACTCAGAACATGAACAGAGACGAGGGTGGACACCAGCTGAGTCATCTGTATGACTCGATACTGACATAACAGGGGAGGGGCGATATCTACACCCTACCTATAACCTATCTGATGCAGTGTGTATACGTTCCCGAAATGTATCGGGTCGAGTGACAGGGAAAGTATATAATTTCGTCAAATCGTTGTACATGTAAATAACACAAATCGCTCACTCAGTTATAGCTTGACAAAAGGACCAGTCGGTCTTGAAACGTTGCGATACGTTTAAATGTAATACGTACAATGCTTGTGTAAAAAGTAAAACTTTGATATCACATATTTCCAAACTGATGAATCTTATTGAAAAAGTCACTAGCATGTTTAGGAAATGCCTGAAAGCATGACGCCTCTCACATTTTTGGGAAATGCCCGAAAGCATAATGTCACTAACGTGTCTGGGCAATGCCTGAAAATATTATGTCACTTATAATTACGTGTCTTGGCAATGTCTGAAAGCATGACGTCAATAACATGTTTGGGCAATGCCTGAAAGCATTATGTAACTAACGTGTCTGGGCAATGCCAGAAAGCATGACGTCAATAACATGTTTGGGCAATGCCTGAAAGCATTATGTCACTAACTACACTGGGCAATGCCTGAAAGCATTGCGTCAATTCTATATTTGGGGAATACCTTAAAGCATAATGTCACTAACGTGTCTTGGCAATGCCTGAAAGCAAGACGCCAATAACATGTGTGGGGAATGCCTGAAAGCATCGTTTCACTAACATGCTTAGGTAATGCCTGAAAGCCTTATGTCACTAACTACTCTGGGCAATGCCTGAAAGCATTGCGTCAATACTATATTTGGGGAATACCTTAAAGCATAATGTCACTAACATGCTTAGGTAATGCCTGAAAGCATAATGTCACTAACGTGTCTTGGCAATGCCTGAAAGCAAGACGCCAATAACATGTTTGGGGAATGCCTGAAAGCATAATGTAACTAAGTCGTCCTCGCAATGCCTGAAACCATAATGTCGCCAACCTGCCAGAGGGAACGCCTGATGACAAATTGTCACTCACGTGTCTCTGAACAATATCTGATATCCTGTCACTAATGTGTCTCTGAACAATATCTGATGTCCTGTCACTCACGTGTCTCTGAACAATATCTGATATCCTGTCACTATTGTGTCTCTGAACAATATTTGATATCCTGTTACTAACGCGTCTCTGAACGATATCTGATATCCTGTCACTAACGTGTCTCTAAACAATATCTGATATCATGTCACTAACGTGTCTCTGAACAATATCTGATATCATGTCACTAATGTGTCTCTAAACGATATCTGATATCCTGTCACTATTGTGTCTCTGAACAATATCTGATATCCTGTCACTAACATGTCTCTGAACAGTAGCTGATATCCTGTCACTTATATGTCTCTGAACAATATCTGATATCCTGTCACTAACGTGTCTCTGAACAATATCTGACATCCTGTCACTATTGTGTCTCTGAACAATGTCTGATATCCTGTCACAATTGTGTCTCTGAACACTATCTGATATCCTGTCATTATTGTGTCTCTGACCAATATCTGATATCCTGCAACTAACGAGTCTCTGAACAATATCTGGTATCCTGTCACTAACGTGGCTCTGAACAATAACTAATACCCTGTCACTAACATGTCGCTGAACAGTAGGTGATATCCTGTCACTAATGTGTCTCTGAACAATATCTGATATCCTGTCACTTATGTGTCTCTGAACAATATCTGATATCCTGTCACTAACATGTCTCTGAACAATATCTGATATCCTGTCACTAACGTGTCTCTGAACAATATCTGATATCCTGTCACTATTGTGTCTCTGAACAATATCTGATATCCTGTCACTAATGTGTCTCTGAACAATATCTGATATCCTGTCACTAACATGTCTCTGAACAATATCTGATATCCTGTCACTAACGTGTCTCTGAACAATATCTGATATCCTGTCACTATTGTGTCTCTGAACAATATCTTGTATCCTGTCACTAACGTGTCTCTGAACAATATCTGATATCCTGTCACTAACGTGTCTCTGAACAATATCTGATATCCTGTCACTTACGTGTCTCTGAACAATATTTGATATCCTGTCACTAGTGTGTTTCTGAACAATATCTGATATCCTATCACTAACATGTCTCTGAACAATATCTGATATCCTGTCACTAACGTGTCTCTGAACAATATCTGATATCCTGTCACTATTGTGTCTCTGAACAATATCTGGTATCCTGTCACTAATGTGTCTCTGAACAATATCTGATATCCTGTCATTATTGTGTCCCCGAACCATATCTGATATCCTGTCACTATTGTGTCTCTGAACAATATCTGATATCCTGTCACTTACATGTCTGTGAACAATATCTGATATCCTGTCACTCACGTGTCTCTGAACAAAATCTGATATCCGGTCACTATTGTGTCTCTGAACAATATCTGATATCATGTCACTTATATGTCTGTGAACAATATCTGATATCCTGTCACTAACGTGTCTTTGAACAATATCTGATTTCCTGTCACTAATGTGTCTCTGAACAATATCTGATATCCTGTCACTAACGTGTATTTGACCAATATCTGATTTCCTGTCACTATTGTGTCTCTGAACAAAATCTGATACCCGGTCACTATTGTGTCTCTGAACAATATCTGATAACCTGTCACTAACATGTCTCTGAACAATATCTGATATCCTTTCACTAACGTGTCTCTGAACAATATCTGATATCCTATCAATAACGTGTCTCTGAACAATATCTGATATTCTGTCACTTACATGTTTCTGAACAATATATGATATCCTGTCACTAACGTGTCTCTGAACAATATCTTATATCCTATCACTAACGTGTCTCTGAACCATATCTGATATCCTATCACTAACGTGTCTCTGAACAATATCTGATATTCTGTCACTTACATGTTTCTGAACAATATCTGATATCCGGTCACTATTGTGTCTCTGAACAATATCTGATATCCTGTCACTAACATGTCTCTGAACAATATCTGATATCCTGTCACTATTGTGTCTCCGAACCATATATGATATCCTGTCACTATTGTGTTTCTGAACAATATCTGATATCCTGTCACTTACATGTTTCTGAACAATATCTGATATCCTGTCACTAACGTGTCTCTGAACAATATCTGATATCCTGTCATTATTGTGTCTCCAAACCATATATCATATCCTGTCACTATTGTGTCTCTGAACAATATCTGATATCCTGTCATTATTGTGTCTCCAAACCATATATGATATCCTGTCACTATTGTGTTTCTGAACAATATCTGATATACTGTCACTATTGTGTCTCTGAACAATATCTGATATCCTGTCACTATTGTGTCTGAACAATATACCTGATATCCTGTCACTAATTGTGTCTGGGAAAATGTCTGAAAGCATGCATGAAGCACCAGTGTGTGTGGGCAATGTCTGTTTACAGGACCTCGCTGACAACGTGGGTAATGCCACAGTAACCTGATAATTTGTTACAGCTATATATATATATATGAACATAAGCTAAGGTGTTCAGACTAATTTTGCATGTATTAGGGGTTTAGATCGACTTTCGGTAAAAATGCCATCCCCAATGATTATATACGAGTTATTAATAATTGCGGATGGCATTTTTACCGAAAGTCGATCGAAACCCCTAAAACATGTAAAATTACTCTGAACACCTTAGCTTAGGGTCAAATATACATTTGTAGCTGTAAAAAAATTCTCATGACCTTATGGGTATGCCTGATAACACGAATTCAATTTGTACCTGGGATCGAATTGTCGGATAATATGACGTAACTAACGCGTCTCTTGGTAAATCATTTCTTGGACAACTAGAAACTGATCTGGTGTTCTTTCTGTAAAAAGATTACTCCAAATTATCGTTTCTTTCCACAAAACTTTTGATTTGAACATTTCCAAATTTTCAATTTCTCCACATATCAATGTTAAATAGCTGATAATGCTCATGCCCAGAGCTCAAGAAACACTTATATCACAAGGGTAACGATTCTTTTAGATAACCTAGTTTTCCGATGACAGTGGCAAAGTCATTTTTAGCCCTTTTCTTTTTTTCCTCTCCAGAAATAGTTTTCTTTCTATTGAAGAAATGTGTACGTTAATTGATTTTTTAAGAAAAACAGTGAATTAAGTAAATCTTGAAGTTTTTTTTACTGAGACCAGAGACGTATATACATGTACATTTGTATATGTGGAAGTAAAATGTCAGGCTAAAAATATTATGTCCGTTTTGCCAATAAGACTTGGTTTAACATTTCCAAAATTGAGATATCAGAACAGTGGTGAAGAAGATAATATGTAGAAATAAACAAATATGTAGAAGCATTATTATCGTAACTTATAAATTAATAATTGCTTTTGAGCCACTAAATTGGGCAAACTTATCTTCAAAATATTTCTTTTAAAAAACATTACGGAATTCTTGTCACGGTCTTGTGTCTAAATTGTCAACATTTATAGTAAGTCGTAAACATCCGGTACCGAAACATCAACCACGATGAACCACGTTAGTGAACTCATACGATGTACTGATTTTGCTGCCATAAAGCATAAAGACCAGAGAAGAAAAGATATTGAGGCAACACCATACATCAACCACCCTATCGGTATGGCAAATTGACCAGTTTCGTTTTGCAGTTGAATTCTTTGTAGAACATAATCACCGGTTCGACATATTTCCTCCTTGATTTACGGACGGAGGTCGTCCGGACCAACATATTTGAAACTTCCTTAAAGGGATGTGTTTATTCATGAGCAGCACATTTATGAATGAAAATTTAACTATTTAAGTAGCGGTGATTTTTTTTTTAAATATTTGGAGATTTCTGTTGGGCTAAAATCTCACGCTTAGACGTCCTTACTCACGCTAAAACATGTCTCAAGCCACGTCGCGTGCATGAGCCATAAATCTGAAGGAGAAAGAACCCAAATCGTATCAGTACCCAAATCGGATCACTCAGGATCCGCAAACATACTTTTTAATCAATACATATGTAAACAGTTAAGTTATAACAATAATTCATCCTTAAAATTCATAATTATGCAACGTTTTTAGTCTAGAGATGATTAACCTTTAAGTTCAAATAGCATCAGAAGACGTATTTCCTACTCAAAAAGTATCAGATCACTCAGGATCCGCAAACATACTTTTTAATCAATACATATGTAAACAGTTAAGTTATAACAATAATTCATCCTTAAAATTCATAATTATGCAACGTTTTTAGTCTAGAGATGATTAACCTTTAAGTTCAAATAGCATCAGAAGACGTATTTCCTACTCAAAAAGTAGTTTTTGTTCACGTTGTTAAAAAATGGCCCGTGCAAGTACTATGTATTTTTTTTCGTACTGAAGGAATAAATTCAGGATATAGAAATACGTTTATTTGTTCAAATTCCAAAGATCATCATAAATATTAAAATACTGACAAGGAAATGTTCACTTGAAGCAAAAAATATTGCAAAAATCAAGGCGTGATTTGATTTGGGTAATGACATGCAAAAGATGTCAGTAATAATTGGTAACGTCAATTGGTGCTTATTGGTAACGTCGGAGTGTTCTATAAATTTCTCATGTGAGCCCTTGGTGTTTATTTAGTTGGTAAGAACAGCCAAAGTTTTCATCTTTTTATACAACCACAAACTGATTAAATTAATCAGGTGATTTTTCAAAGAATGAAGAAAATGATGGTTTGGTGATTCATTTTGGATACTGATCACCGCGTACATCTTAAAAGTATTACTTGCCTAAGATACCCTAAACATGTATGTAAACTGCTACATGTTACTGTATAGGCCTTTTGTTGCTAAATCAATCTGTTACCCCAACACATTGGAGAACATCTGTGTATAAAATGTTAGTGAACTTCCAAGAAGCAAAATTAAGACACTTCTAAAGTGAATAGGTCAAACATTTCGATTCAGTTTTGCATGAGAGCTTTGTCCATTGGTTGAAACGTAAGTTTCATCAGGCTTAAGTATAAAAAATCCTTTTGCTATTTCCCATGAAATATAGGATCAGACTGGTAACAGAAAACTCTCTTTAACCAAATGAGCTACCTGGTCATTGTTGATCGACCCAGTGGTCATTGTTGATAGGTAGGGTTAGCGGAAACACCAAATATTTTTTGTTTTGCCTTACTGTTACACTTTCACATAATTACCCACGGCTGATTTATTGTTGAATCCTTTGACCTCAATCACATTCATGTATTAATAACAGCAGTTAAATCATTTAGTTCTTTTCCAAAATAACCTTAAAAATGGTACTGTACATTGAAATTAAAAAGTAAAATATATCATGCATTGAACTTAATGTCGCTCTGTTTATGTTTTTCATTCATAGGTGTGGCAAAGATATTGACTGAAGAGGCTGGAATCACAGATATCCCTGTAATCCAGGTATTTATAACATATACTGTTCAACAATGATATTGGGTTCTCCTTCACATAGAATTACAAAAATATTATTTACTGAGGGTAATGTGTCTCCCCCCGTTCTTTCATCTGGATCATTTCTGTTCCGTAATTTGAATGACCATTTAGATTAATGACTCAATATATATATTCCCATTGAGCATGTGAGGGATTGCTTTTAAGTTATAAAAGATCCAAGGTCAAGGTCCCGCTTGTATAAAACATCTCAAAGTTAAGGAAAATCTCAAGCAATGTATTGTCTATGGGAAATCTTAGACTTGAGGAAATCTCAAGAGTTGAGTTGTTTTATACAAGTGGGCCAAGGTCAGTCACTGTCATGATAATTAAACAAACAGTTACACCCATGCCCCTTAGATCAAGTCTAATTTCTATATGGATCATCTTACTCAAAGTGCTTGTTTCGGATTGGATCTCTTGTTGAACGGCCAAAGTTACTACAGGGGTTCTCATGGTAACTTGACCTCTGTAGCCTTGGTAACTTTACATCTGTAGCCATCGTAACTTTACCTCTGTAGCCATGGTAATTTCACATCTATAACTATGGTAACTATACCTCTGTAGCCATATTAACTTTACATCTGTAACCATGGTAGCTTTACCTCTGTAGCCATGGTAAATTGATCTCTGTAACCATAGTAACTTTACATCTGTAACCTTGGTAACTTTACCTCTGTAGCCATGGTAAATTGACCTCTGTAACCATTGTAACTTTACCTCTGTAACCATTATAACTTTACTTTTGTAACCATGGTAATTTTACCTCTGTAACCATTATAGCTTTACCTCTGTCGCCATGGTAACTTTACCTCTGTAACCATTGTAACTTTACCTCTGTAGCCATGGTAGCTTTACCTCTGTAGCCATGGTAACTGTTCCTCTGTAACCATTGTAATTTTACCTCTGTAGCCATGGTAACTTTACCTCTGTAGCCATGGTAACTGTACCTCTGTAACATTTGTAACTTTACCTCTGTAACCATGGTAAATTTACCTCTGTAACCAGTATAGCTTTATTTCTGTAGCTATAGTAACTTTACCTCTGTTACCATGGTAACTTTACCTTTGTAGCCATGTTAACTTTACCTCTGTAGCAGTGGTAACTATACTTCTGTAGCAATGGTAACTTGACCTCTGTAGCCATGGTAACCTAACCTCTGTACTCATGGCAACTTTACATCTGTAGCCATTGTACTTGACCACTGTAACTATGGAAACTTTACATTTGTAGCCATGGTAACTTTACCTCTGAAGCCATGGTAACTTTACATCTGTAGCCATGTTTACTTTACATCTGTAGCAATGGCAACTATACATCTGTAGCCATAGTAACTTTAACTCTGTAGCAATGCGCCAATGGTAACTATACATCTGAAGCCATAGTAACTTTACCTCTGTAGCAATGTGCCAATGGTAACTATACATCTGTAGCCATGGTAACTTTACATCTGTAGCCATGGTAACTTTACATCTGTAGCAATGGTAACTATACATCTGTAGCCATGGTAACTTTACCTCTGTAGCCATGATAACTTTATATCTGTAGCCATGGTAACTTTACATCTGTCGCCATTGTACTTGACCTCTGTAGCCATGGAAACTTTACATCTGTAGCCATGGTAACTTTACCTCTGTAGTTATGGTAACTTGACCTCTGTAGCCTTGGTAACTTTACATCTGTAGCCATCGTAACTTTACCTCTGTAGCTATGGTAATTTCACATCTATAACTATGGTAACTATACCTCTGTAGCCATATTAACTTTACATCTGTAACCATGGTAGCTTTACCTCTGTAGCCATGGTAAATTGATCTCTGTAACCATGGTAACTTTACCTCTGTAGCCATGGTAACTTTACCTCTGTAACCATGGTATCTTTACCTCTGTAACCATTATAGCTTTACCTCTGTAGCCATGGTAACTTTACCTCTGTAGCCACGGTAACTTTACCTCTGTAACCATGGTAACTTTACCTCTGTAGCCATGGTAACTGTACCTCTGTAACCATGGTAAATTTACCTCTGTAACCAGTATAGCTTTATCTCTGTAGCCATGGTAACTTTACCTCTGTTACCATGGTAACTTTACCTTTGTAGCCATGTTAACTTTACCTCTGTAGCAATGATAACTATACTTCTGTAGCAATGGTAACCTAACCTCTGTAGCCATGGTAACTGTACCTTTGTAACCATGGTAACTTGTTTCAGGCAGCATTACTCCATGATACAGTAGAGGACACCGATACGTCCTTTGAGGAACTGAACCAACACTTCGGCCCTGAAGTTTGTGGTAAGTTGTGACAGTTTACTTTGTTACCAGTATTGAAATATTTTCACATAATTGTCACCAGTCCTACAGCGTAAGTAATTATGTATCTTAATTAAAATTTTGGACAGTTCCTTTTACTAAGTAATTATATACATGTGCAAGATGCATCTAAATTTGTCTATATCAGGAGAAAGGATTAAAAATACAAAACATGCAACCCATTTTACCAATTCCTAATCTGTAATATTAAGCCACTTTGATGAAAGCATCACTTTACCTTTTTGAAATCTTTTTTTTCTTTAAGTTTAGAACATCTTTTGTAAATTCAATTCAATAATAAACAACTAAATTCTGTTACAGATTATTCAATTGTGAACTTTGTTAAAAAAACGGTCATGTCAATTCTGTGACATATAATTTCCATTTCTTTGGTTTGTCAGATGTTAATGTGAATAAAATTCATATAAGCTCAGAGTTAATACCTGTTTATGGCCTTCACACATTATTTCTATACAAATATTGTATGTTATGACACCATTTTGCTGTTATGATAAATTGACCCTCATTTCGGAGGATAAAAAGGCGAAAGTTAAACAGTGGCTAAATTTTCTCTGTATACAAAATATTTTCTTTTGTGACGTATAAAAATCAGGATTAGAAAAATGGAAAATAACTAACTGTTTGATGATTCCAGGTATTGTGAAGGAAGTTACCGACGACAAAACATTATCAAAGATGGAAAGGAAACAGCAGCAAATTAATCACGCACCTCACGCTAGTTATAAGGCTAAACTGGTCAAACTGGCTGACAAGTTATACAACTTACGGGATTTGCGGAGGTGCACACCCTGTGGCTGGACCGCTGAACGTGTACAGGAGTATTTTGTGTGGTCTTCCAAGGTAGTAGCAGGACTTAGAGGGACAAACAGGAAAATGGAGGACACCTTAGATGATTTATTCAAGGAAAGAGATATCATTATATGATGTTTCAATAGGATATTCCAATTCTAAGAAAAAAAATAATTCTCACTTTGATTATTGAAAGCATTTATTGTTGATTATACATACCGTATTTACCGTGTTTTCGTATTTTAAACTGTTAATGGGATATTATTCATTATTATGCATGTTAATTGTTCATACTAAATTCTAGTGTAAAAATGGGATGTTACAATTTTAATAATAAAACAGATTACATACATAGCTACAGTATTCCTAGGTCTCAGATTTGCTTGAAAAACTAAGGACTCTGTTATTGAGCATATACAATAGAGGTGTTAATGATCGAAAGTGAATAGATATTCGGGCACCTGCCCAACCACATGGATTTTCTCCGAGCACTCCTGTTTCTTCCCACATACACACTTCAAACCTGGCCAATAAAGGTATATGTAGGTATATGGATATTCTATTCGAGGCTGGCGGTTTCTGACACCAAATTCTGCAACTGGTGGTAGAATATCCATATCCTACATACCTACATAATGATCGGCTCTTTTTCTTCCACTTTTTAACCAAAACTTGGTAAAACAGGATATCGACCATGCAAATGCAACACTTCTTACAGAATTTTTGTTCTAGGTAATGTATTCTCAAACTAGCGCCATGTTTAGAAAGAGCATAAAACTTACAGTACATGTATAACAAAGGTATACCTGCAATATAAAGATCCATGAAGGACTTTTAAGGTCAAGTTGTACAATAGTTCTATTGTTCTTAAGGTGAGGTCACCTTCCGATGGCAAAAATGCCACAAAACAAAGTTTTGACACTTTTTTAATTGTGGCGGCATAATAAAACGCCGTCATCTGATTGTGACATTATAATAGTACAGGTCTCTGGGTGTGACCATATAGGATACACATATCTAATATGGGTGTTTCGCATGGGACACGTGTGTCTTTTATATGCAGAAGTTGGAGTAAACTTTGATAACTCTTTGTTTCATTACTATTTGAAAATAAAGTTTATTATACGACCGTCAAATTTGGTATGGCGTTGTCCGTCCGTCCATCCGGCGTTAACTTTGTTTGTCCGGCAATCTCCTCCTACATTTTTCGACCGATCTATTTGAAACTTGGTATACATTATAATCATGATATGAAGTTGTGTCTCCCCTAAAAGAATTTTGATTCGACAATCGTTTTAAAAGTTATTGCCCTTTGTTCATTTCAGTATTAGCTTTTTGTCCAGAGATCTCCTCCAGCATTTTTCGACTGATCTCTTTGAAATTGGTATACATTATAATCATGATATGAAGTTGTGTCTCCCTTAAAAGAATTTTGATTCAACAATTTTTTCAAAAGTTATTGCCCTTTGTTCCTTTCAGTGTTTTATTTTTGTACAGCAATCTTCTCCTACATTTTTCAACGGATCTCTTTGAAACTTGGTATACTTTATAATCATGATATGAAGTTGTGTCTCCTTCAAAAGAATTTTGATTCGACGATTTTTGCAAAATTTATTGCCTTTTGTTCATTTCAGTATTTGATTTTTTTGTCTGAAGATTTTCTCCTACATTTTTTATAACATATCAGCTAACCACTCTTAGAATGATGCAGATCTTATTTCAATGTAAGAAAGTATATAACACTATATGGCATTCGACGGGCGTATTTTGTTCTGCCCTGCGGTACTCTTGTTTTTATATGCAGTCGGGAGCGTACTGAGAAGCAAAGATTTTGTCAATCAAGAAATATTCATTGACAAAACCTTTGCCTCATAATACAATCAAGAAATATTCATTGACAAAACCTTTGCCTCATAATACAATCAAGAAATATTCATTGACAAAACCTTTGCCTCATAATACAATCAAGAAATATTCATTGACAAAACCTTTGCCTCATAATACAATCAAGAAATATTCATTGACAAAACCTTTGCCTCATAATACAATCAAGAAATATTCATTGACAAAACCTTTGCCTCATAATACAATCAAGAAATATTCATTGACAAAACCTTTGCCTCATAATACAATCAAGAAATATTCATTGACAAAACCTTTGCCTCATAATACAATCAAGAAATATTCATTGACAAAACCTTTGCCTCATAATACAATCAAGAAATATTCATTGTATTATGGGGGAAATTGAAGGCACACATCTAGCTTGTTTTACAAACAATGTTTTCTCTTCTGAACAATGTAATTCAAATATGATGACTAAACTCCTGCTGACAAAAGCAGCCATGTTAACTTCACTGCTTTGTTTAAATGATTTGTAAAATATTCCTATGCAAAGTAGGATCTCTCAGGAATAGGATTTGTCAGGAATTGTCCTAGTTAGTCCTGCGACATGCATGTATCGGCTATTGTTGCGACATGCATGTATCGGCTATTGTTGCGACATGCATGTATCAGCTATTGTTGCGACATGCATGTATCGGCTATTGTTGTGACATGCATGTATTGGCTATTGTTGCGACATGCATGTATCGGCTTTTGTTTTATTTTTTCATTGTAAATTCTAGTCAGAGCTCAGAATTTGTACATTCAAATTTGGGGTCAGTTATGAAATTCTTTTATGGTTTTGTTGATTAGTTAGCTAAAAATCTGTGGTATGATATTAGTTTTGTTTGTGTACGTTTTCTTTTTTTGTACCAATATTCGTTTGTTTGTCAAGTTAATTTACCAATGTATATATTTAATGTGTACTTAACTGTCTGTATGTATATTTATATATTCGTCACAGATTTGAAGTTTTAATTCTGAGAATGACATTTCCTGTCATCTGTCTTTAAGTGTTTTCATATGTACAAAGTTTGAATTGTGTGTATATATGTACTTGAATAGATGAATTTTATGGGAACACTCATATTTTCATATTTTTTGCCCATTTTTAATAACTGTAATCTGTTTTAATAATTATGAAAATGAAATATAGCATATTAAAATAACATATGTACTTCTTCTTTGTAACCTTCGCCAAAGGCTCAAATGCCCCATTGAGTTTCGCCAATTTTCGTCAGTGAACATTTTCCAATATCAACATTAACGAAAAATTCTCAAATGGATTTCATTGAAACTTTATAGGAATGTTAGTGGTATTGTCATGAGGAATAGCTGTTACCTTATGTATGTTTTTTGGTCGATCAGAAATCTTCTATGGTTGCTTTGGTTGCCATCTTAAAACAATCAAGCGTTAAGTTCCAATTGACCAATGTTACTAAAGCGACGAACGACCTATGGTCAATTTACTTGTTGCTTATTTTAAAGATGAGTTCTTTTCTACGACAATTTTAAACTACATTGAATTAAAAATCGTTATACATGTAGTTATTTATCTAGCCCCAAAGCATCCTCGACACTCCAGGGCTTACCCTCACTTTCACTGTCTGCATCCCTGGAATATGTCATAGCAAAATCGAAGGCTCAGTGTGCACCACCTGGAGGATGAGACGAGTAGTCGGATGTCACTCATGTGTAATCTTCAAAGTACACTTATCAGCCTAGCGGTTGGTTTTGTTTATTCACCCGAGACCAATCAAATAGCTAAACGCGTGCCTTCGATTTTGCTAAGATAATTCCAGGGGTGCAGAGAACGAAAGTGAGCGCAAAACCTAGCGCCAAAGAAGCTATACATAAAATTATGAAATGAAATTTAAAAAATATGAGCCATTAAAAAAAATGCACCAAATGTCTAAGAAGCCGTCTATAGGCGGACTTTCCATAAAACATCTTTCATATAGATCTAAAACGTTAGCTATAATTGATAACCAAGGTATCTTACATATAGATCTAAAACGTTAGCTATAATTGGTATCCAATGTATCTTTCATATAGATCTAAAACGTTAGCTATAATTGATAACCAATGTATCTTTCATAAAGATCTAAAGCGTTAGCTATAATTGATAACCAATGTATCTTACATATAGATCTAAAACGTTAGCTATAATTGATAACCAATGTATCTGACATATAGATCTAAAGCGTTAGCTATAATTGATAACCAAGGTATCTTACATATAGATCTAAAACGTTAGCTATAATTGATAACCAAGGTATCTTTCATATAGATCTAAAACGTTAACTATAATTGGTAACCAATGTATCTTGTATATAGATCTAAAACGTTAGCTATAATTGATAACCAATGTATCTTTCATATAGATCTTAAACGTTAGCTATAATTGGTAACAATTGTATCTTTCATATAGATCTAAAACGTTAGCTATAATTGGTAACCAATGTATCTTTGATAAAGATCTAAAACGTTAGCTATAATTGGTAACCAATGTATCTTTCATATAAATCTAAAACGTTAGCTATAATTGATAACCAATGTATCTTTTATATAGATCTAAAACGTTAGCTATAATTGGTAACCAATGTATCTTTCATATAGATCTTAAACGTTAGCTATAATTTGTAACCAATGTATCTTACATATAGATCTAAAACGTTAGCTATAATTGATAACCAATGTATCTTACATATAGATCTAAAATGTTAGCTATAATTGATAACCAATGTATCTTTCATATAGATCTAAAACGTTAGCTATAATTGGTAACCAATATATCTTTCATATAGATCTAAAACGTTAGCTATAATTGGTAGCAATTGTATCTTTCATATAGATCTAAAACGTTAGCTATAATTGGTAACAATTGTATCTTTGATATAGATCTAAAACGTTAGCTATAATTGGTAACCAATGTATCTTTCATATAGATCTAAAACGTTAGCTATAATTGGTAACCAATGTATCGGGTTGCACGTGCACATGGCCTGCATTCAGAAATCGTTCGCGTTCTGAAACTCAAATTTTACGCTATTCTTTGTTTCGTTCAAGAATGATTCAAATTTCGATGTTTTGGAGAAAAGTTTGAGAGACTTGAAAATAAATAACAATGCTTCCAATGTGTGGAATGTATATTTTGACATTGTCAGGTGGTCGGCGAGTTTGACCACGTTATTCATGCTTGAATAAGGCAGAGGGACTCTTAAAGAGAATAGGGTACATCAGTAGTTCGAACCACAGGCTGTCAATATATTGTTCTGAGAGAGAAAAGAGATTTTGGTGGGCTGTAAAAAAAATTTCTTCACAAAGCTCTAATGCAAAAAAGTACTATAGAATATGCACAAAGAAACTTTGTCATCCTCTTTTTCCTAACAAACAGGGGTGTCATAGATATTTTAAACTTTGTTTGATTACGTCGTTTTGTACTGTTCAATTGATAACAAGAAAGCATTATTATATTGCTAAAAAGTAGGAACATTAGCAGGAATCCATATTGAATACTATCACACATCTTATAAATGTGAAAGGCAGACAAAATTACAACTGACTTACTTAGTCGACCCTACAGGAACACCTACGTACATTCTCTAAGATTACCGGTAACTTTGGTAAACAAAGGCTGTGAATTTGTGACGTCATAAGGGGGTTATAGGCATCTTTTGGCTATTTTTAAAACATATTTCAGACCTTGACTATGATCTTTATTCTTTAACCTTTTGAACCACTCATGAGTCCCTCACAGACGAAATGGCCAAATGGTGCATTTGAAATATTTACTTTGCTTGGAGCTGTGCATCTATTTACTAAATTTTAGTATATATATACATATTTTTTTTTTACTGCCAAACGTTAGAAAAATAAGACAACGTTTCACGATCCCCCAAACCATCCCCCCCTTCCAGTCACAAACGGCGCATTAGAAGTAGTTTGCTATGCCATATATACCAAGATTGAACAAAATCAGAAAAAGAGCGACTTTCGGCATCACCTTTGTGTAAACCCAAAAATGTGTCGATCAAGTTTAGACCACGGCGGCCCATGTTTGATGGAAAATTGAAACGCGTTCATCTACATGTGTCCATCAATACTCATGTGAAGTTTGGTAAGTATCAGGCCAGTAGTTACTTAGAAACTCACGGAGACCTATTTGGCGAAAGAAAAATAGAATAATAATGATGCTACACGCAGCAAAAATAATAAGTCCCCCAACTTTGTTTTGGGAGTTTGTCTTAAAAACCCCAGTGCTTGTTAAGAACCATTGTCGTGTTATACAAAATGTATAAATATCCGCTCGAGACATCTTAATGCAAAAATTAAGAAAACAACAACACCAGACTGTTTTACTTCTGTGTTGCATTGTAAGTATCCTACTACCAGATTATGAACCGCAGTTGACAGATGAATGTTAGGCAGGAAACAACTACATAGAATTAATAGAAGAAATATTTCGATTTCAACAAGCTTGTCAAACTTACAACTTTTGGTGACTCCTACTGAAAGATGAACGAAAGACCCACACATGTAATGGATACAGCATGCCCGAAATTGATCACACTTCACCATACAACTTTTTCGTTGTTCTATGATTCATCTATAAGTCAAAAAGGTAGTTCTAAATCCAAATGGGTTTAGCTATGGTAGAAACATACGTGTAGGTGCGTAAAAAACTTTTAATTATTAATTCCATTTTGATAATAAGTACGTATATTATAAACTGTGCCATTACTCAAAAGAGACAGCTGTGGATATCGATGTTATATATTTCTCTCTACTTCTATCTACATTTTATTTCATAGCGCCTTGCTTGGCAACACCTCACTTTTGGTTTTAATGTTGAGCGTTCGCTCAGGTAAGGAAGGCAGTGGGTTCTGTCCCCAGGCCGGGACATACCAACGTCCTCAACAATGGAAGTTGTTATTCCCTACTTAGCGTTCAGCATTTAGGGTAATGGCAACAACTAGTTCACTCGTTGTCAGTATTATTGACCGAGCGGAATGCTGTGCTGGGTGCCTTCGGCATGGTACTTCAGTGAGATAGCACTATAGAGTTGGCATCAGATCCGCGCTATCACAAGGAGGCCAGTGCATCAACATACCTTGTCTCCGGGACACAAGCAAGCACGCACACACAACACACATGGAGGCACGTACTTAGCCTTACCATGACCTTAGCTTATGAAAGGACGTTAAACAAAACAAACACAAAACAACTATCGAGGTTAAGGAAAAAAACTCGAGGATTAAGAAATCCACCATCAGATTTTTGTAAGCATTTTGTTGAGATTGTTAAGAGTGAGTTATATACCAGGACCAGTGAGTGTTAATGTATGACGTTTCGATGCTTAGTTCGGTACGTTCCCCTTCACATTCGTCAGTCTACACTATGGTAAACCCAGGCACCTTCATCAGACTTGACACTTCTTGTCGGATGAACTGGACATGATAAGTACCGTACGAGTCATCGAAACGTTACTCATAAAACACGTACTGTTTGGTATGGAGGGGATGGGGTACGTACCGTGCAAGTCATCGAAACGTTACTCGTAAAACACGTACTGTTTGGGATGGAGGCGATGGGGTGCGTACCGTGCTAGTCATCGCAACGTAACATATACATAACTTTGTATGGAGGCGATGGGGTACGTACCGTGCGAGTCATCGAAACGCTACTCATATTAAACGTACGGTTTGGTATGGAGGTGATGGGGGACCTACCGTGCTAGTCTTCGAAACGCTACTCATAAAACACGCTCTGTTTGGTATGGAGGTGATAGGGTACCTACCGTGCTAGTCGTCGAAACGTTACTGATAAAACACGCACTGTTTGGTATGGAGGCGATGGGGTACGTACCGTGCAAGTCATCGAAACGTTACTCGTAAAACACGTACTGTTTGGTATGGATGTGATGGGGTACGTACCGTACTAGTCATCGAAACGTTACCCATAAAACACGCACTGTTTGATATGGAGGTGATGGGGTACAGTACCGTGCAAGTCATCGAAACGCTACTCATAAAACACGCACTGTCTGGTATGGAGGTGATGGGGGTACGTACCGTGCTAGTCTTCGAAACGCTACTCATAAAACAGGTACTGTTTGGTATGGAGGCGATGGGGTACGTACCGTGCAAGTCATCGAAACGTTACTCGTAAAACACGTACTGTTTGGTATTGAGGTGATGGGGTACGTACCGTACTAGTCATCGAAACGTTACACATAAAACACGCACTGTTTGGTACGGAGGTGATGGGGTACCTACCGTCTAGTCATCGAAACGTTACCCATAAAACACGTACTGTTTGGTATGGATGTGATGGGGTACGTACCGTACTAGTCATCGAAACGTTACCCATAAAACACGTACTGTTTGGGATGGAGGCGATGGGGTGCGTACCGTGCTAGTCATCGCAACGTAACATATACATAACTTTATATCTAGAAAGATGAACATAAGGCACATGTGGTAACACCTTTAAAATTTGGTAAGAGATATTTGAAAGACTTGACCTCACTTTCAAGGACATACAGTAGATGTGTCAAAAAACATGTAGCTTGTTGTGGTGAATTTCTAACTAGTTTATTAACACAACGCGGAAGCCAGCGTTTATTTGCAATACAGACGAGCAAGTCAATACTGCTTAGCTTATGAAAGGACGTTAAACAAAACAAACACAAAACAACTATCGAGGTTAAGGAAAAAAACTCGAGGATTAAGAAATCCACCATCAGATTTTTGTAAGCATTTTGTTGAGATTGTTAAGAGTGAGTTATATACCAGGACCAGTGAGTGTTAATGTATGACGTTTCGATGCTTAGTTCGGTACGTTCCCCTTCACATTCGTCAGTCTACACTATGGTAAACCCAGGCACCTTCATCAGACTCGACACTTCTTGTCGGATGAACTGGACATGATAAGTACCGTACGTGTCATCGAAACGTTACTCAAAAAACACGCACTGTTTGGTCTGGAGGTGATGGGGTACGTGCCGTGTTAGTCATCGAACCTTTACTCATAAAACACGCACTGTTCGGTATGGAGGTGATGGGGTACTTACCGTGCTAGTCATCGAAAGGTTACTCATAAAACACGCACTTTTTGGTATGGAGGTGATGGTGGTACGTACCGTGCTAGTCTTCGAAACGTTACTCATAAAGCACGCACTGTTTGGTATGGGGGTGATGGGGTACCTACCGGGCTAGTCATCGAAACGTTACTCGTAAAACACGTACTGTTTGGTATGGTGACGTTTCGATGCTTAGTTCGGTACGTTCCCCTTCACATTCGTCAGTCTACACTATGGTAAACCCAGGCACCTCCATCAGACTTGACACTTCTTGTCGGATGAACTGGACATGATAAGTAACGTACGAGTCATCGAAACGTTACTCGTAAAACACGCACTGTTTGGTCTGGAGGTGATGGGGTACCTATCGTGCTAGTCATCGAAACGAAACATATACATAACTTTGTATGGAGGTGATGGGGTACGTACCGTGCTAGTCATCGAAACGTAACATATACATAACTTTGTATCTAGAAAGATGAACATAAGGCACATGTGGTAACACCTTTAAAATTTGGTAAGAGATATTTGAAAGACTTGACCTCACTTTCAAGGTCATACATTAGATGTGTTAAAAAACATGTAGCTTGTTGTGGTGAATTTCTAACTAGTTTATTAACAAAACGCGGAAGCCAGCGTTTATTTGCAATACAGACGAGCAAGTCAATACTGAAAGTTCAATTTGTTTATTTGCAAGTGTTGTTAAACAGGTACACACTAGATTACATCCTGATGAAATTACCTTAGCCTGAACGGTGTCGTTAGAGCTGCCTTGTTTATGTAGAACAGACCATTTACTCATTTTAATCTAGTTATATCAACATCTATTACACATACCACACTATATAAGGTCGTGCGGCGTCGCCGATCGTGTTATACAAGTTTATAAGTAGGTCACCAATAGGTTAGCATGTAAAAGAGCAAGTAACTCCATTGTCTACTAATCATAGTACAATTATAGAAAAGACATTAGGATGATGATGATGATGATGATGATGATGATGATGATGTGTGTGAGTTAGTGTTAGTGTCTTTGGTGAGAATTGATGTGTCCGTTCATGTGTATGAATTTACGTATGAGATGATGATGATGATGATGATGATGATACTGATTGATGATTAGGTGTGTGAGTTAGTGTTAGTGTCTTTGGTGAGAATTGATGTGTTCGTTCATGTGTATGAATTTAAGTATGAGATGATGATGATAAAGTGTGAGTAAGTGTTAGTGTCTTTGTCCTCTTGTTTGAAATTACCATAAGTTGTCAAACTTGGGAAAATAAATTAATTAAAATACAAACAAACAAGGGTGAATCAAGTCTCACGGATTTGACCCCACTACCGTGTAAAGCTGATACGCTGGCGTCTCCTTCGCCGTGAGTGACGTCAGAGAGAGAAAGGTACTTAGTGTTACTACGTACCACGTTCAATGTGTAACTCGTCAACCCATCCTGACGGTAATTTGACCTAAAGATAATGCGCTGACATTTCCTTCCTCGGGGAATCAGAGAGAAAAAAAGTACTAATTTGTATCATACATTTACTGCTCATACGTACCAAGTGCACGGTAATGCTGGGCACCTTTCCTCCCGCCATCAACAATTCCCGAAACACAATTACATAGTAAGCAATACATTTGAATAATAATAAAACAAATGCATGCAAGAGATCTTGGCCATAAGGTATATTATTTTAGGTATTCCATTTTTATAACGAGAAAGAGACAATAGGAAAATAAATATGAGAAGCTAAACTACTGCTTCACATGTGTAGGTATACATTAACGCGTTGAAGTGAGACATTGTCAAATGGCCCTACACTTATTTCAATGTGGTGTTATCGGACTACAAATTACAACACATTGACAACTCCCATTTGTCTTGCTGACGACAAGTTGTAAAAGACAGAAACACTCAATACCATACATGTAATACCGTTAACAGGAGTCCAGGTGCATATCTGATACCAGATAGTGTTCTTAATGTTAACATTATAACATACCGCTAGATTTCACGAGTCTATTAACTGCTGTATACGACTAATGCAATAGTGAACACGTGGTGACATAGGGATCAGATGCATGTTTGATGAGTTTGATGGAATGGTATCTACAAGAAAATGAGCACATGTCCACGTCCAAATGGAAACGCGCACTATTGACTGTACAAGGCAAGGGAAACTGCCGAGAGACACACAGATGCAAACAATAGGATTCTTGACCAGCCTGACGCTTTGCCGTCTGTTACATCTGTTGTGTCCAGTTTCTGGTATATTCGTTTGGCCTTCACACCGTTTGCCTCCAAAGTCTGTAATAATAAATTGTGATCAATTAATTAATTCTGGTTAATCTTTATTTATATTCTATGAAAGTTTCGCTCCCATGGATTTCACTAATGGATCGCAGCACCTTTAAGTTTTACTACACGTGTGTAATACCATATAACACGGCCGTATGACATAGGAAAAAGGGTCAGTTATGTGATGAATACCATTAAGGATGAATGTAACAAAAAAGACAGGTGAATGCAGCTTTAAAATTTAGTAATAGATTCAGTATACCAAACAATAAACTACACTGCACCGTCCTTCTAGGACTCATCGGTGATGCTAGGGACGAAAAAGATCGATAACCAAATTGTCTAAATACCGTAACTAGCGAAATAGAGGGAGAGATGCGTAAAACGTCAGAATAATCCCTTACGACAACATCCCAGCAGTGCTGTTTTATTTGTTTATGAAATGTCTTTTGTCGATTGACAAAATTATTCTTGTACCGTAAATCCTTTTTATTTAGCGAGAAAATATTTTTTATGTTTAGTCTAAAGAGTAAAATTCACAAGAGTACACAAAAATTTATCACAATTTTGTATACAATAGCTAATTTCTGCTTAGTGCAATATATCCGAGAGAATGTGCTTTAAATTACAAAGAGAAACAATAAAAGATTAACAGCTGATGAAAAAACTCAGGTTTGTTATTAAGGTACATACCATAACCATCGTCTGTTCATCAAATGTTCGCGTAATCTTGGAGAAGGGTGGGTCTAACTGATGCAGGACGAGCTGGTCGTTCTCCAGGTTCACCGACGTCTGTTCAATAAAGTAATAACGGCATATAGATAAACGATGTATTATAATGTGAAAGGCTATAAAGGGACATATCAGTAGACAGTTAATATACCCTGTAATACCTAGAATGCGACTTAATAAGATAAAAACTGAAAAATAAGCTTCAACCTATTTAATGAAAATCAATAATAAAGCAAGTTTTATCAGCTAATATCAGCTATATATAATCTAAATACTCTTGTTCGCCAAAATGCTAGTGCGCATTAAGTTCTGGTATGAGAGGAAACTGAAGTGCCCGAAGAAAAGCCACGCTATCTGGAAGGTAACCCATGTTTTTGCACGTCTAAATTTGGAATAAATATTGCTATGAGATACACGTTTGCTTTGTTTCGTTACCCGAAAATGGGGTGCTTAGAACGCCAAATGTCACCCGAGGTTAGGACGACGGACTTCCGTATTGACCTCGCTGTCAGACAACCTAAAGAAGATGGATGCCTTGTGGGTTGAATATTACTCGCCTTTGGGAGGAAGAACTACTATTTTTGCTGCATCTCAACCGAGTTAATGGATGAGCTGAATGTCACCTATTTGTTTGTAACAACTGACAATTTTCACTAATGAAATCTATGATATAAGCTAGCAAAATCTCCCTTGCGGGTTGAAATGAAGGTACTGCATTAATAAGGAAAATTAAAACTATTGGAGCGCAATGCTTTTATCAGTAAGACGGGAAGAAAAGATGGCTGATAGCAAACGTTTTGCCAATGTAAAAAACCCTGACAATTTCCAGAAACAACTAGCACATATAATGCATTAAGCACAAAAGACAACCGAACAGACTGTGCGCATCTTTCATGCATATTTAAAGGAAAAGAATCTTGAGGATACACGTACAATGCCATACTGATAGTTTCAACCCTGGCCATTTTTTTCTTTCACGAATGCACGTTCTGATAGATCAACCGTGCAAGAAGTCCACTCTCGCATCAATTAGTAATGGTTTTAATATGATATAAGAATATCCATGAAGCTTAACAGACAGGGCCTTGGATGTACTGAGAAGTTGCTGGGAAAATTGATGTTTGAAAAGTTTATTAATTATTCGATGAACTCACCCGAACCATCCGTCCGTCATAAGTCAGCCATGTGCACTCCTGTCCCTCAATAAGTTGTACATCTGTCTGTCCGACGGGCGAGGAAGTACATATAGACCAGCGCCCTCGTGTGACACGGATAGTTTGACAGGGACAAATGAGGAAGCCTAATTTTCTTTTCAACCAGCACACACCTTAAAGGAAAAGTACAATTCTTTGTTATCATTGTAATATATGGATTACATTTTTTATTTTTTTTTTGCATTAAGAGTTATTCCAACCTGATTCAACGTAGGTTTTCTCCGGGTAGTCCGGTTTCCTCCCAGTGAAGATCCCCGCGCAGTTACACCCGGGACGATAAGAGTGATTTTTATAAGTTGAACGAATTTGTTTTATAATTGTTGTAAAATAAACAAAGTTTATATTTAAGATACTGAAACTTTTCACTCTTTTTTCAAATTGTTTGCTTAATGCACTTATTGTCAATATTTGGGAATATGACGCTATTTGGCTAGGAAGTGACTTTTACCTAACATACGTAGGATAAAGTACCTATTAAGAATGTTAGAATACCGATACAGAATTTAAAGGAAGGCACATACATGTTCCCTCCCCATGCGGCCATTTTGTTCACGTAGAAGTCACCACGTGGTGCTAAGGCCAAAAGAATGGAACCCAATATCTTAAGTATTCAGAATCATATTTAGAATACTGCATAAGGGGAAAGGCGCATACTATAACCCTTTATGGGCGGATTGGTCGAGTGGTTAACACTCCGGTCTTCCACGCAGGCGACCGGGGATCGATTCCCAAAGCCGTCGTACGCAAGGAATATTCAGAGAAAGTGTTTTGCTGCTGCCCAAACAACTCCAAAAACCCAAGTTGGAGATTAAAATGGTGGAGTCTAAAATGGTCTGGGGTGGATGTTGTCGTATATGTGCTGTAGCATTCAGGTGAGGTGGCACTATAAATGATACCGTTGGCAGCACGATCCTACTAAAACCAGAACACAATACATCTCCAGCACACACGCAGGCAAACACACAGAGAGATATTAGTCAGGTGGCATAGGGCTAGTAGTTAGCGCCTGATAAGGCAACTCCTGCTATTTCCTTTAAATCGTATTGATTAATGTATATGCTAAATGTATTGATTGTATAAATTGAATAACTATGTACTGTAAAGCGCTTTAGAATGGCCTATTCTAGCTAGATAGGGCGCTATATCATAAAGAATTTTATGATAAAAGTGCTAAATTTGAACTTTGATTTAATATATCATTATATTCGTTATTTGGCGTATTTTAAACTATAAACTTTCATTCAATCTATACCATCGTGTGACATAAATATAATTAATATCCTGGAACTATATGTGTAAATTGTTTCTCCTGAACTTGTGTCAATTTAGATAAGTTCTATTTATTAAGGTTTTTCCTTTAAAGTCGACATGTGTCATTGTTGTCAGATTAACTCATGCATTTACTTTGTCCATCTTATACCATATACCTTTCAACTTATTTATATTACGTAACAGGATTAACTGGTCATACCAGATCGGACACTGCATTCAGTCTCAGACAAAGGACAGCTAAATTGGCTTACCTGGTCGGGTACGGCCGAAGTCTGAAAGGCCGATTGCTATGAATGACAGATGTCACTCAAACTTATTACTTAATTGATTTTGTGTAAATGTACTTAGGACACGATTATGATTGGTAACTTCAATTAGGAACTAGGCATCGCACTGTACGGGTGTGTTTTTGGATACTCCAGATATCATCCACCGACCTAGAGAAAGTTATTTTAATAAATTTATATTTGGACCATACAACATCTCCAGAACTTTTACTTTTCAAATTGTATAACAATACCCCACAAAAGGGTTGTTATAGCTATATCAAATGTTGTAAATTATTATATTATTAGTACAACATAACAAAATGACAGCTTTTGGATACAAAAGATAATTTACTCTTAAAGTAGTATTTCTTGTAAACACTGCCAGAATAAATCTCAGCAACAAGGTACCAGCCAACCTCAGGGGCTAGGTAGTCCACCTTTAACCATATTTTGACATGATATTATCAGTATAAAAAGAAAATTTATTAAATAATTAAGACTTTTATGGATAAGTATTTTCCATAATTATTCATAATACAATTTTTATAATTTTTACACTAATCGATATTCTGGTTGACATATTATTTTTGTCATTTTCTGAATGTAACTTAAACTGTTTTATACTATTGTTTCCTCATTTTTAAAGCGTGTTTATGAGCACTTGTTTCCTCTTTCATCCGTCTAGTGCGGTTTCCATTTACTATTGAATTTCCTGGTTTGTGTCGATTTGCCAGATGTTTGTGATGCAATGTATCATATTGTGTATTTGTTTGCCGTGTACCACTTACAAATAGGAACTTAGCGGTTCCGTTTAGCCTCTTTGTTCTATACCCGATGCGTATATCCATGACCATGACCTCGAGCGGCCACAACAAAGCTTTGTTGTGTCTGTCAGATCCCTCAGCAGATCCGTTTTCTTTATCCTCGTCAGTTCAGTTGTTGATTCGATAAAGCGCACGTTAGGTAAAATTGGATTAAATATATATTTCCTTATTAAGCTTCATCATGTTGGCACCTATTCAAATATTGATGTCTGTAGGAAAACAAAAATAACTTGGCTAGAAGTGGGGTACAATTTGTTCCCATGTGATGGACTACTCACTAATTGTAACGATTTCATCATCACTAGTTGTTTCATGCTTGCCCTGCCTTGTTTTTAGAACATAATCTGCTCCAAAATACTAGTATTTTAAAATGATATATTTTTTGCCGTTCACCTTCTTGGAAAAGTTGTCCTCCTAAAAATAAAAAGGTGTTTCTTCAGTTTTTTATGGGGAATGGTAGTGTAAAGGGAAGCAAAATGCTCTGATCGAAGAAAACAGTGTCATGATACGACTGTACCCTGACTCCAGTGTACCAATACGACTGTACCCTGACTCCAGTGTACCAATACGACTGTACCCTGACTCCAGTGTACCAATACGACTGTACCCTGACTCCAGTGTACCAATACGACTGTACCCTGACTCCAGTGTACCAATACGACTGTACCCTGACTCCAGTGTACCAATACGACTGTACCCTGACTCCAGTGTACCAATACGAATGTACCCTGACCCCAGTGTACCTATACGACTGTACCCTGACTCCAGTGTACCAATACGACTGTACCTTGACTCCAGTGTACCAATACGACTGTACCCTGACTCCAGTGTACCAATAAGAATGTACCCTGACCCAAGTGTACCAATACGACTGTACACTGACCCCAGTGTACCTATACGACTGTACCCTGACTCAAGTGTACCAATACGACTGTACCCCGACTCCAGTGTACCAATACGACTGTAACCCCAGTGTACCAATACGACTGTACCTTGACACCAATGTACCTATACGATTGTACCCTGACTCCAGTGTACCAATACGACTGTACCCTGACCCAAGTGTACCAATACGAATGTACCTTGACTCCAGTGTACCTATACGACTGTACCCTGACACCAGTGTACCAATACGACTGTACCCTGACACCAGAGTACCAATACGACTGTACCCCGACCCCAGTATACCTATACGACTGTCCCCTGACACAAGTGTACCAATACGACTGTACCTTGACCCCAGTGTACCTATACGATTGTACCCTGACCCCAGTGTACCAATACCACTGTACCCTGACACCAGTGTACCAATACGTGTACCTATACGACTGTACCCTGACGCCAGTGTACCAATACGACTGTACCCCGACTCCAGTGGACCAATACGACTGTAACCCCAGTGCACCAATACGACTGTACCTTGACCCCAGTGTACCTATACGATTGTACCCTGACCCCAGTGTACCAATACGAACGTCCCCCGACCCCAGTATACCTATACGTCTGTACACTGACTCAAGTGTACCAATACGACTGTAACCCCATTGTACCAATACGACTGTCCCCTGACCCCAGTGTACCAATACGAACGTCCCCCGACCCCAGTATACCTATACGACTATACCCTGACTCAAGTGTACCAATACGACTGTAACCCCAGTGTAACAATACGACTGTACCTTGACACCAGCGTACCTATACGACTGTACCCTGACGCCAGTGTACCAATACGACTGTACCTTGACCCCAGTGTACCTATACGACTGTACCTCGACCCCAGTATACCAATACGACTTTACCCCGACCCAAGTATACCAATACGACTGTACCCTGACCCAAGTGTACCAATACGACTGTACACCGACCCCAGTGTACCAATTCGACTGCACCCCGACCCCAGTGTACCAATACGACTGTGCCCTGACCCAAGTGTACCAATACGACTGTACACTGACCCCAGTGTACCTATACGACTGTCCCCTGACACAAGTGTACCAATACGACTGTACCCTCACTCCAGTGTACCACGACGACTGTGACCTGACTACAGTGTACCTATACGACTGTACCCCGACTCCAGTGGACCAATACGACTGTAACCCCAGTGCACCAATACGACTGTACCTTGACCCCAGTGTACCTATACGATTGTACCCTGACCCCAGTGTACCAATTCGACTGTACCCTGACCCCAGTGTACCAATTCGACTGTACCCCGACTCCAGTGTACCAATACGTCTGTACCCTGACCCCAGTGTAAATACGGCTGTACCTTGACACCAGTGTACCAATACGACCGTACCTTGACTCCAGTGTACCTATACAACTGTACCCTGACACCAGTGTACCAATACGACCGTACCTTGACTCCAGTGTACCTAAACGACTGTACCCTGACTCCATTGTACCAATACGACTGTACCTTGAGTGTACCAATACGACTGTACCCTCACTCCAGTGTACCACGACGACTGTACCCTGACTCCAGTGTACCACGACGACTGTGACCTGACTACAGTGTACCAATACGACTGTACCCCGACCCCAGTGTACCAATACGACTGTACCTTGACTCCAGTGTACCTAAACGACTGTACCCTGACTCCATTGTACCAATACGACTGTCCCCTGACCCAAGTGTACCAATACGACTGTCCCCCGACTCCAGTGTACCAATACCACTGTACCCTGACACCAGTGTACCAATACGGCTGTACCCTGACCCAAGTGTACCAATCCGACTGTACCCCGACTCCAGTGTACCACGACGACTGTACCCCGACCCCCGACCCCAGTGTACCAATACGACGGTACCCTGACCCCAGTGTACCAATTCGACTGTACCCTGACCCCAGTGTAAATACGACTGTACCTTGACTCCAGTGTACCTAAACGACTGTACCCTGACTCCATTGTACCAATACGACTGTCCCCTGACCCAAGTGTACCAATACCAATAAGAATGTACCCTGACCCAAGTGTACCAATACGACTGTACCCCGACTCCAGTGTACCACGACGACTGTACCCCGACCCCAGTGTACCAATACGACTGTACCCTGACCCCAGTGTACCAATACGACTGTACCCCGTGTACCCTGACTCAAGTGTACCAATACGACTGTACCCCGACCGCAGTGTACCAATACGACTGTACCCCGACCCCAATGTACCAATACGACTGTCCCCTGACCCAAGTGTACCAATACGACTGTACCCCGACCGCAGTGTACCAATACGACTGTACCCCGACCGCAGTGTACCAATACGACTGTACCCCGACCCCAATGTACCAATACGACTGTACCCTGACCCCAGTGTACCAATTCGACTGTACCCCGACTCCACTTTACCAATACGACTGTACCCTGACCCCAGTGTACCAATACGAATGTACCCCGACCCCAGTATACCTATACGACTGTACCCTGACTCAAGTGTACCAATACGACTGTCCCCCGACTCCAGTGTACCAATACGACTGTACCCCGACCCCAATGTACCAATACGACTGTCCCCTGACCCCAGTGTAAATACGACTGTACCTTGACCCCAGTGTACCAATACGACTGTACCCTGACACCAGTGTACCAATTCGACTGTACCCCGACCCCACTTTACCAATACGACTGTACCCTGACCCCAGTGTAAATACGACTGTACCTTGACACCAGTGTACCTATACGAATGTACCCTGACTCCAGTGTACCAATACGACTGTACCTTGACTCCAGTGTACCAATACGACTGTAACCCCAGTGTACCAATACGACTGTACCCTGACCCCAGTGTATCAATACGACTGTACCCCGACTCCCAAGTGTACCAATACGACTGTACCCCGACCCCAGTGTACCACGACGACTGTACCCCGACCCCAGTGTACCACTACGACTGTACCCTGACCCCAGTGTAAATACGCCTGTACCTTGACACCAGTGTACCTATACGACTGTACCCCGACTCCAGTGTACCAATACGACTGTACCCTGACCCCAGTGTATCAATACGACTGTACCCCGACTCCAGTGTACCACGACGACTGTACCCTGACTCCAGTGTACCAATACGACTGTGCCCTGACTCCAGTGTACCACGACGACTGTACCCTGACTCCAGTGTACCTATACGACTGTACCCCGACTCCAGTGTACCAATACGTCTGTACCCTGACCCCAGTGTATCAATACGACTGTACCCCGACTCCCAAGTGTACCAATACGACTGTACCCTGACTCCAGTGTACCACGACGACTGTACTCTGATTCCAGTGTACCAATACGACTGTACCCCGACCCCAGTGTACCAATTCGACTGTACCCGACCCCAGTGTACCAATACGACTGTACCCCGACCCAAGTGTACCAATACGACTGTACCCTGACCCCAGTGTACCAATACGACTGTACCCCGACTCCAGTGTACCAATACGATTGTACCCCGACCCCAGTGTACCTATACGACTGTACCCCGACTCCAGTGTACCAATACGATTGTACCCCGACCCCAGTGTACCTATACGCCTGTACCCCGACCCCAGTGTACCAATACGACTGTACCTCGACCCCAGTGTACCAATACGACTGTACCCCGACCGCGGTGTACCAATACGACTGTACCCCGACCCCAGTATACCTATACGACTATACCCTGACTCAAGTGTACCAATACGACTGTACCCCGACCCCAGTGTACCAATTCGACTGTTCCCCGACCCCAGTGTACCTATACGACTGTACCCCGACTCCAGTGTACCAATACGACTGTACCCCGACTCCAGTGTACCAAGAATGGTTGTTTGAGTTTGGATTATGGATTTGTTTAGCAACTACAAAGGTCAGCGATAAAACGTTGTTTATGATACTAATAATAATAATTGGAGGTTCCTATATACCGCTTTATCACAACCTAGTTCGTAGGTCGTCTCAAAGCGGTTCACAAATAATTATCCGTTGCAACCAGACGATATCTTTCTCAACTCCCTGGGGAGCATACAGTCGGTGCTGATATTTCGGCACTCACAGCATTAATTCTACATTCTAGCACTACCAAAACACGTACTCATTTACAGCTGAGTAGACTGGAACAAGCAGCGTAAAGTATCTTGCTTAAAGATACAACACTGTGCCGTGCCGTGACTCGAACCAGCAACCCTTCAGTAACGAGCCCGGCGTCCTACCACTATACTACCGTGCCCCCTTTATGATTTCAATTCAAACAGGGCAGGTCCGTGTACTTATCAGTAATCGATGCTGGAAGACATTGTAATGCAGAAACATGATTATCAAGTATTCCATCATTCAACAAATGGAAATTCACAAGTAAGGAAACCTTGATTACCAAATAAGCTTCATTCTTTTTCAAAGCAAGGCATTTGATACTGTTTGCAGATATGGATTAAGTTATACGATCCTTCTGCTGCCGACACATTTGAACACTTAACATGCAGATCGTCGAGTGTGGTTTGGACATCGGAGTAAAAAAATACAGACGTGCGTTTTGTTTTCATTTTGAATTGATTCTAAACTGCTTAATATTGTTTTGTATGCTGACCTGATAGATGAAGTTCAAAACGGGCTCAATTCTCGATTTATAGGTAGTCCCACAGGGGTTCAACTCCCTACAATGGCCTGATCATACGTGAGATATATAGCTGTTTTATGGATATAAACCATTCTTTACCTTACAAAAGGAAGCTGTAACGCATGAAATATCATATTTAAAAATAGGTAGCAATTGACCTTTGTCTTCGTCCAACAATAAGTTATGCTGGACATGCAATTAAGAACCGATTGACCCACCAGACGGATTTGTCTTGACCACAATGTACTGAATTCCTGAATATATTATATTTTGTACATGTACCATATTTTACACTGCATTTTCTCCAATTCTCTCCTAACTTCCCCTTTAAATTATCCCTTTCTCGTCACTATCCCTAAGCTATAGTTGTTTTTGTTGTTTACGATGAGAGGTAACAGATTTATGTAAGTGTATCAGCACTTGTTTCTGTCTTCCATTCATTTATGTTCAATCATGATTGAATTATGTGTTACATATGCTATGTGAATAAAACAGAGTTAAAACTAATCAAGAATCAGGAATTTCGAGTTTTCTTTCTATTGTAACATACCACGAACACACAAATCGAGACATCTTCGGTCTTTAAAATAGGGTAATAGAGAAAGTAAACCAAAAATATTTTGTCGAAACTACTGTTGAAACAGAGGAGCAGGTACGTAAAACCCTTAACTTATGAATTTAAAACAAAGAGGAGTACTGATTAACCTCAAAATCATCATCTTTAAAATGTGTATAGTATGAACCGTGCCACTAATCAATAGTGATAACTGGGTCAATCAAGGTTACAGCAAACCGCGGGGACTAAAATGTCCAGCAGCAGAATCAACCACCTTGTCTCTTGGAAGATGAACTAAACACATACCCAGGTGATTGCACCTTCAAAATTTGGTATAAGATACAGTGAGCCAAAAATGAATCACTCTGCAGCACTCTTCGGGTCTCAACGTTAACGTTGATGCCAGGCCAATACGTCAAGTTAGGCTCGGGTAGATAGTATTGGCTTATGTTTGAGTTAGATGTATACCGTGACTAACTGAAACTTCGGCACAAATAAAGATTAAATATTAAAGTTTATATATCATAAACTAAGTACGTGGTGGAGGGAGGCAATGACGCAATCTTTATATGGATAAGTTGGCATTGATCTCGGCACAAGTCCGAAATTCTATTTCCCTGTATAAAATAAACATAACTGTAAATATAGCTGGACCCGTATCTCATAAAATCGTTCTAATGCTCAAACAATTGACTGACATCAAATCAAGGTAATCTTTAAGCATAAATTAATTGCAGAACCGGGTCAAACTGATTTAATTTTTTACTCACCCATGCATCTACAATAAGATCCAAAATTTTCCGACCGGGTAAGTTTCCAGGTTCCGCTAGCGAAATGTGGTGTTTCCTCCATTTATGAATTACTGTGTCTCACGGTATAATGTGTATTACGACCGCCTCAACGATATCCTGTGCTCATATATGAAACTGAGGGCTTTGTCACAACGCTATTTATTATGTATAGGATCCGGTTAGGGCGATAGTCATCCTCGATATCGAGGGGTTACGTTCACTTTCGCTCTCTACACCCCTGACATATGTCATAGCAAATTTGAAGGCACGAAGATAGCTGATTGGTTGGTCTCAGTTAAAAAAAAGAAAATGCAGCTCTAGACACCAAATCATTTTTTATACATATGACTTTTTGACAGTCCAGCAACCAGTATCGAGGTAACGGATCTTGCATACTTGAATGTATTGAATTATAATAACAGAGAATGTATATGTTAATTGTTAATGGCATTAATTTTGCCGTTCAGAATATTCCGTTCACGCTCAATGTCCTTACATTTTACACTATTTTCACTCAATAATTGTCCCACAGCTCGCAAATGTACATTTTTAACAGCATGTTTAAATGTTAACGATTTGGTAATAACGTCATCTCCTGAGAGAGAGAAGGGACATAACATGATTTACATAAAATATCATTTATACCTTTTGTCAAAATTGCAGTGATCTTTACACATATTTCTTTTCACAATTGCAATTTTTGGATAAAATATCAACCGTCTTCTTTTTTAAAGCGTCAATGATAGCCTCTCTTTGAATAATAGTTATTACCTCTCGAGACTGCTACGAAGACACTGTTTTTTGTTGTTGTTATCACATATTCGTTTTATACAACTGAACAAAAAATATATCGTATTGAACGGGAAAACAACACCCCTGCAAATGGGGGATCGGGAAAAGAATATACCTGCTGTTACCCACCGCATCGTAGGAGGCGACTAATATGTTAACCCACTGCATAATTGGGGATTTGCTTTGGTGTCCTCTATTTGGGGACACAAAAGCGACCATAATAAATCTGCTGCCCCATTGCAAAATTTGGGATCTTTATCTCTCTTTCTACTCCTTACTACCTTTTTTCTATCGCCTTGCTTGGCAACACCTCACTTTGGGCTTAAATGTTGAGCGTTTGCCCACGTGAGGAAGGCAATGGGTTCTGTCCCCAGACCGGGACATACCAAAGTCCTTAAACATGGTATTTGTTATTCCCTGCTTAACGTTCAGCATTAAGGGGAATGGCATCTGGTTCACCCGTTGTCAGTATATTGAGATTGAGATAGCACTATAAAGTCGGCATCAGATCAGCGCTATCACAAGGAGGCAAGCACACCAACATACCCTGTCTCATGCATATACACACGCAAGCACGCATACACTACACACATGGAGGCATGTCCCTAACTGACCTTAGCTGTTAATAGGACGTTAACCAAAATTAAACCAAACCAAACGGGAAAACAATGACATTTTCTATTTCTTATATATTTTTTTCACTTACGCGACGCAAATATTGCTTCATCAGAAAATCGCGGGAATGTGTAGCGTATTTTTTTTACGCCAATTTCTAATGACGTCACGCTTGACAACAATGCAGAGCGCCATTTTGATTGGGTTTTCACTGCAATTTTGCCGTTTGCTGTTATTATCTGGTAAGATTTCCAGACAAAAATGATATTAATTGTTTAGTTTTGTAAATACAACAAAACCCCTTATTCTGCCGCCATTTCATTTAAACTTGAAAGTGAAAATCTACGCAGAGAATAGAATGTACCGTTCAGACTGGACAGTACTAAGAGTGACATGTGAAAATATAATATTTCGTATATCTTCACTGCATTAGAGATATGTTTTTATGAAATGGAAAATTCATGATATTTCACTAGTGAAATTTAAAACAAATACGGATACTGTAGGGTTAACTATCATATTTTTGCAGACAGTATGCGGGCATTCGGCAAACCTCAGCCGATTCCGGTACCTTCATCTAACCTCGGATGTATGACGGTAAGCGATATGCAGCTACGCCAGCACATTGTGATGCGGCTACCGGTTTACTTATTAGGAAGACTTGCCGCTTTACAAAAAAGTTCTTAAAATGGCGTCGTTCGAAGAATGTATAGAGTTTTCATTGCAGAGTTGTCCTTTGTTTAAAGAAAATTGGATAAACTTGAAAGAAAAGCAGCTTCAGACGTTAAAGGCTTTGTATGATGGTCAAGACTGTATATCTATTTTGCCAACAGGCTATGGAAAAAGTGTGATTTTTCATTTATTACCGTGGTTTGCTCAGCGTCAATATGCGAGGGAGAAACCGATGACTGTCATAGTGGTTTCCCCGTTAAATTCTATCATGGAAGACCAAGTGACGAGTCTTAGAAAGAGCGGAATAAGTGCTTGTTGTCTAAACATTACAGGTACAGTAACGAGTTCCACTATACATCTATAATGTTAAAAATCGACTTTTATCTGTGGAATATAGTACACACACACCCTGTATTCCCATAGGAGCCTGAAGTTCTCTAAATAATGAATAATAATAGTAATACACAAAAAATACCTCTTAAATGCTTAAAAAAAATAAAAAGCATATAAGAGTGGTTTTTTTTTTTGTATTAATATATTATTCATTATTGACAGAACTTCAGGCTCCTATGTAAAAGTTTTGCCCTCGTATAGTGATTTTTCTTTCGTCAACTCTGTGGTTCTGTCTTGACTTAACTTCAGCTGGCTACAGGTCAATGAATGACAACACGTTTTATAAAGTTCTACAATTTATTATGTACTAAACGAAACTGAAGTAAATTAGATGAAACATGATGAATAGATATGCACAATGCTACAGCACGTCAACCACTCGACCGGTCCATACTAAAACAGTATACCGTGTAACATATGTCCTCTCAAAAATGTCCACGCGGTAGGCTATCCCACCTTGGAAAATAAGTTTAAACACACCCCGATAATATATTACAACATGTCTACAACGGGAAAATAACCATCCTAAATTAGTTAGATGGAGATCTGCCGAGGTGTGCCGAATGAGTATGCGGGCTCAAGTTCCCAGAAGGCGTTCATGCATGGGGAAGCACCGGAAGTGGACAAAGTGTTTGCGCCGGGGTTTGAAAAAAACTGACGAATCACTAAGCTGATACCTGTCCTTTGAAGATTTTTACGGTTTCGTGACCGCGAGATTCTTTTAATGTATATTATTTGGCGATAACGTCAACAATGGCGGCTTCGTTCTAACCGCGTCACTCCATGAGCAGTGTGCATGTCAATGCGCGTACATGACAACCGTTGTAAATGAATAGAAAAGATCGAAGGACTTCTCACATTGCTTAAGTTAAAATTTAAAAACCATGAAAGGAAAAAAACGGTGTTGTTCACTGCGTATTTTCTAAATTACTCATATATCGATGTTGATTCACTGGACCTATATTGTCCTAGCAACCACGGATACCGTAGTTACCATCGTGGCAACCCGCTTCGACTTTTTGTCAGCGTACTGTAGCATTTAAACATGTTTTAATGTAAATATAAGGATTGACCTAACGCGCGCCATATACTATGTTCGTTGCCAACGGCGTTCATTTAAGCATTGAACAGCGCGCATTATGTTGTTTGCTTGCAAAGCTGTGTCATTCAAATAGATCATAAATACCATACAAAAACAGTTCAACACTTATATTTACGTTTTCTCTGCTTCTTATGTTCTTTTTTAACTTATAATTTATATTTAAAAATAAAAATGCCCGCCTTATCGACAGTCCACACAATTTCGTTCAATGGTTTGAACAGCGTATTGTCGCGTGCTGATTGGCAAACAAAGTAGTACTTTGAAATTTTAACAAACACTTCAATTTTATTCCACAATTCAGTATGAATACAATTGCGTATGATATGTCTATAGGGTGATTCCAGTTTTTCAATAGAAATCTGAGCTGAAAGTTAGATTTGAAATTGTTTCGATTTTCCCCCGGAACATATTTCGCGCATGGACAAATATAGTGAACACTGTAAATCCGACCTTGCCCTCCACGAGGGAGTTATTTTTGGAAATTAACTAGAACTTTTCTCTTTGCTCATTTTGTGAAGAATCCAGGCGTGAATTTAGTTGTTGATTGTATGGAAACCCGACAACAGTCGGTAGATTCTATAACAGCCTCGTTATTTGACATGTCGTCAGAAACTGAGGAACCGTGGATGCGAGACGCGTAAAACTGATAGCGTTTGAAGTGAGTGATCTTGCGACGGAGCACAGGTTCGTTACAAATGTCTGAAATGTTTATGTATGCTGTGACTCATATCAGTAGGTCTGTAACATATGTGTCAGTAGGTCTATAGAATATGTGTATTTCAGACATTTGTAACGAACCCCTGTTGATCAGTGCAGTGTAACAGACGATATTTCTGATAAATTGCATGAGCGTTAAAATTGTTTCCATATTGCCGGCATTGGTGATTTCAGCCGATGTGCATTTTGTACGATATTGCAGACCTTGGTCTTGTTTTCGTTGTAATAAAAGTGTTTTTATTTTATTTTTTTATTTTGCACATAAATTTACAATGACATTGTCAAATCTCACAATGCCCAGCGATATTTCAGCAACCGTCATGTTTATTTATATTGGATATTGTAGTTCCGGTCAGTGTTGTATTAATACGCTAAAAATTGTGTCTCGTGATGCATGGTAATTGAAGTCCCATCAACGACACAGCTTTCAAAGAGGCTATATAGTGACAATGCCATGCAAATTTAAATATACTACCATATACGCCGTCAAAATGAAGGTAAATCCTTCAATATAGTTTGTACAATGTAACAGACGTCGACTCGGCTTGGCTATAAGCGTATGTACATTTAGTACAGTGTAATCACCAATGAGCTAGATCTGATCGGAACTGCGAAATGTTAGCTCTTCGGGATTCGAAAATGTACGGAAAATGATTAACTCAAACCGAAACAGACCCCCTCCCCCCCAATCAATGAGGAGGAAGCTTTATCCAATCATTAAGGAAAACATGAGGAGTGGACATAAACTGAAGCTCTAACGGAACATAATTTTAATAGATACTGGTGAATACATTTGCCGGACACGGACAAACGATTTGAGTTCTCCCGGGAAGGATTAGCGACGTCAGTCTTCTGCACCCAGGGATTTCGAGAAAGGAAAGCTTAAGCGATTGCTCTATTTCTCATTTCCCGAGGGAAGAGGATCTTCAATTTCCGATTGTCAAAACTAAACTCATGTCGCGTTAGTTATGCTGCCATCCGGAATAAACAAAGTGATTATACGGTGTTTGTTGATTATCATAACTTCAAAAAATCCATTTCCTAATTGAGTTTACAGGAGGAGAGAGAGAAAGGAACCGAGACATGCTCGTGAAATATGCTGAGAGATATAAAATGAAATTGTAGATGATGTTTTTTTTAAGAATCTGCTATTGTTTTCTGATTAAAAAGATAGTTATGGCGGCTAATTGAGGATAGTCAAATTATTAATTTCTTAACCACTGAGTATCTCGTTATAACGACTGACCATTTCGTTATAACGACTGAGTATCTCGTTACAACGACTGAGTATATCGTTATAACGACTGAGTATCTCGTCATAACGACTGGGTATCCCGTTATAACGACTGGGTATCCCGTTATAACGAGATAATTAAATGTTTTGGATAATTTTTTGGTGGAGGTCTTCCAGTTTTTCCCGAATTTCACGAAAAAGAATGTAAAGGATGTTATATGATTGTTCGTTCTAGTTATGACTGAAAGCATTCCAACAGAAGCCGATAGTTTTGCGTTAATAAATATCTTTAAAAACATTTAGTTAACACTCATGGTGATGCTATTTTTGACTGCTGGAAAGCTGTGCATTGCAAAATTCAGCAATCTGGGGTACGTGGTTATCACGGGTGATTTCAATAGTAGAATAGATAAAGAGCCGATTTTCTCCCGTTCTTTGCCTATATGACAGAACTGTCCAGGGCAAAGAAAAGAGTGTAGGACTTGTCACGCCTTTTTTGTGGTTTCTGATCTAAATCCTCGTCCATGGCCAGGGGTTTTCCATCCTCGGGATTTTCATATTGTTGCAAAACCCTCAGCAAACCCCTCGGATGGTTGGACTTTTCTAAACCTTCATCATAGTCTCATATATCAACATTTCATTTTCTTAACAATAGTTTCCAATAGGTGATTAATGATGTAATGGCTTATAAGGACGAAGTTGATGCTGGTTGTACTATTCATAGTTCTGAAGATGTTCTTGTTAACCGTGATCAGTTTCAACATTTACAAAATTATAAAACTCTCTATTTTCGAACTTTCAATGTTCGGTTTACAGGTGATGTCGAGAGTAAATTTATATTTTATAACGTTTTGGGATCCAGCACGATCGATAACGTACTTGTCAATTATAATCATTTGAAATTGAGAAGTTGTGATTTTTTATGAATTTTCTTACCTTGATCCATATTTTTTTGTGTGTCATGAAATCAGTTGCTAGTGTGGCTGCGATGCGAGAACAATCTTTGTATATATATATATATATAAGAATGAAAGGTTAATTATGCTATTTGTGAAGTCGTTCGGCTTATATAAAAAAATACGTGGGTATATGTAATGTTCGTTATACATTGTTGACTTAATACTGTTTTTATTTTTATTTCTATTTTTAAAGGTAAATGGACTGTACATTTTGACAGCTGTTAAGTAAGGTTTTAAGCGGTTTACAGTAATATTAAATGCGGAGTTATCGGTCTTTTTAGTAATGTTACTAGCGTATTTCTAAGTAGTATATTTGGTTTTATTTTATAGGAATTATCGTTCTATCATCTTTGTAGTAAAAGCAATACCTAATTAACTCAATGTTAAACGGGCAACACAATACAAATGAAATCGGGAAACTTTACCAGTAGTTGTATGTCGTGAATGAATGCTGACAAAGTTGAATCATGAAGCGCGAATTCTGCTCCAGGTATGAAAACGCAAAACTTTGACACAGCGAAATTAAAACACAAATCAGATACACCATTGGGATAAGCAGGTTCTGCTCCTCGTATAGTACCCGTTGTGAGAATAAGGAATAAGGAGAATATGACGTTTCGGGAAACGCTTGCTATGCTCTGATCGAAGGAAACATATCATCCACATTCATATTCAGGGGTTACATGTCTGAACTAGAACTAAGACAATTCCGGAGTTATCACTACTAAGAAAAGTGTCGATAAATTAACGGAAGTTTTAGAGCACGCAACCACACATCACCCGGGCATAGCTGTTCTTTACAGATCTTTGATATTGGACGAAACAAAACACAGGGAAATTACATTACCTACATAAATTTGTATCTGATGCAGATAGTAATTGCATTGTACATGTAGTGTAGTTCATTTGAAACAAGAGCAAATAGTAAAGCATTATTCTCCCGGCCCCACGAAATTTGAAACTTCAAACATTTTTGTATGCTTGAATACATTTTTTTTACGTATAATATATATAAAGTCAATGAGTCCTATGATCAGATGTAGGCCTAAAGGCATTAGAGAAAGACATTTGTGCAGGAAGAAAGGAAAAATAGAGTATAGATCGTTATATGTTTGGGAATATCTTATATTAACCAAAAGACATATTGATGATGATTTGAATACAAAGCCGTACTTCGTCTTTAACGTCGTATACGGGTCTGTTTCTCCTGCCTATGCCTCCCTTAACAATGGGTACATGGCACCCGTTCACAACATCACGTGGCCGAGTACGACACTACATACCACCGAGTCCAAATCATAAATATGTCAGGGAGATTACACTTTAAAGTGTGCTCTTCCGTCATCCGCGGACACCGACGTCATACACTACAGTAATGTATCAATCAATAAAATCAACTAATTAATTTATCAACAAATTTAATCCATTTTAAAGTTTGCATAACGCTCTTGATACTGGATAAATGAACTTTAGATCAGAAACAACAAAACACATATAGGTATATTGTTTTGGCTATGTTTAATTTGAATAAGAATGACACAGATAATCGTGAAGGTCAATGGTTACTCAGCCGATGACTAAAGGTGAACAAGGTCCCTTTTTAACTATAGTGAGATCATTATGCATACACCTCACCTGCTCGTACTCACACCTGTAATTAATAAAACAAAGTCTCAGCTTATTGTTTGAACTATGTAACTGCTTTTTTTAAATTATTGAGTTTTGTTCTAAGCGTGTGTGTGTATCTTCTTAAAAACAAGTAACATTTTTGGGAGGCGGTATAAGGAATATGGGATAAGGATTTTAAAGACTACTCCTCAAAAATGGCTGTATGGGTCTTAATCTTATCAAGCAAGTTTACTGGAACAATGGGATTTTTTACAGATTTGTTTTGGTTTAATTTTATTTTGTTTAACGTCCTATTAACAGCTAAGGTCATTTAAGGACGTGCCTCCATGTGTGTTGTGTATGCGTGCATGCGTGTATGTGTACCGGAGACAGGGTATGTTAGTGCAGTTGCCTCCTTGTGATAGCGCGAATCTGATGCCGACTTTATAGTGCTATCACACTGAAATGCCATGCCGAAGGCCCCAATCACAGCATTCCGACCGGTCACATCTTACTGACAACAGGTAAACCGGTTGTTGCCATTCCCCTTAATGCTGAACGTCAAGCAGGGAATAACAACTACCATTTTTAAGGACTTTGGTATGTCCCGGACTGGGCATAGAACCCTATACCTTCCTCACATGAGCGAACGCTCAACATAAAGGCCAAAAGTGAGGTGTTATCAAGGTAGGCGCGAGGAAATAAAAGGTAGTTAGAAGTAGATAGAAAGATAAAGGTCTAAAATATGGCAATGGGTCAGTGCAGCAGATTTATTTTGGTCGCTTAAGTCTCCCCAAACAGAGAACACCATAGCAAATCCTGAATTCTGCAGGGGGTTCACTCGTTAGTCGCCTCCTACGAATCTAACACTTTTCCCGATCCCCCTCCTGCATGGGTGTTTTTTTTAAAGAAGTGGTCTAAGACGGATGGTAGGGGCAAAGGTTTGGCCCAGCAGACGAAATAGTTCGGTTTGGTTTGGTTTAGTATTGTTTAACGTCCTATCAACAGCTATGGTCATTTAAGGACGGCCTCCCCTGTGTGCAAGATCCATGCGTGTAGTGTATGAGTGTGTGTTTTGGTAGGCTGCGATATATTCGTGTTTGTCTCCTTGTGATAGCGCGGAACTGATGCCGACTTTATAGTGCTACCTCACTGAAACATACTGCTGAAGACACACAGCAGGACACCCGACCCGGTCACATTATACTGACAACGGGCGAACCAGTCGTCCCACTCCTAGATTGATGAGCGTTAAGCAGGAGAAGAAAATACCATTTGTACAGACTCTGGTATGTCTCGGCCAGGGGACAGAACCCACAGGGGCGAACGCTCAACTATAGGCCAAACGTGAGGCATTGTCAAGGGAGACATTAGGAAGAAGAAAATTGATTAGAAAGAAGAGAAAAAATAAGATCCCTAATTTAGTCGCATCTTACGATCATGCAATTGGGGCAGCAGGTAAAATTCGTACGCCCTACCTGCAGGGACATAACGACTAAACGAAATAAAAAGTAAATATGTTACACTGTATTGAATGCAATTTAAAAATGTGACGGTGTGTTTTATCTTCATTTGGTTTCAACTTTCTCTGGGACAATTGTTTCGTGGTTCCCTACCCCCTCAGAGGCCACTGGATTTGAACCCAATAGAATAAACGGAATATTTGAATAAATTTAAATAATTCCTGAAGGATAACATGACACATTAAACTTTTTCATATGAAATATATGATTAACTGAATTATAATTTTAGCTGGTTCACAGATTGTGCTTATAATTGGTCGATTAGAAATAGATAAACAACAGATACACTTTTCGGGACAGTTAGGCCTCTTGTTTGGGGGTCGGTTGGAGAGGTATATGATATCATACAATATAGAGAATGAATGTCCGGAGTTCATTATTAAAATGTTTCCTTATTAATATATATGTATATTATTTTCTATTTCCTTTTCGATGACTATGGAAGCCAAAATATGTTTCTGTGAATCATAACGATATTTCGATATGGATAATCCCCGTACCTCATACATCATGTCTTTACTCGGTACGAACACAATGGTGAGCCGGTAATCCGGTTTTGTGGCAGGCTTAAACCGGGGAAGCTCGTCGCTGACCCCTCGACCTACTACTCCCACAGGGACCTGCTATTTTGTTACAGCTATATGTGGACCTAAACTAAGGTGTTTAGATCGACCTTCGGTAAAAATGCAACTCCCAATGATGATATATATGTATAGGGGTGTAATTTGTACCGAAATTCGATCTAAACCCCTAAAACATGTAAAATGACTCCGAACACCCTAGTTTAGGTCCAAATATAGCCGTAACAAATTTCCAGGTCCCCGTGATTACTCCCTGTTGAGTAACCAAATTCACAGGCCTTTGTGAACAGGACTTTTCTTATTTTTATGTGTCACAATTCATTCCATATATCGTTTTAGTTTTAGCGGAATTATTGTTTAAGTGATTTTCGAGCTTTAAATATTGCGCTTACATATGATTGCGCTAAACTGTTGACATTCCTGTATATTGTTTTCTATGACTCATTGTGTGGGTGCACCAATTCATCAATGCGCTAATTCTGTTTAAATTCGATAATGCGTTTAAATCGAGTGCGATGAAATTGGTACGCTTACAATACATATAATGCCTGTTCCAATTATGTTTATAAAACACGAAATAGATTTATCTACTTTTTAAAACAGTTTTAGATTTTCTTCAGGAACTTCAGAGCAGCCGCTAAGATATTAAAACATTATATATGTTATAGCATATAGACATCAACATTATGATACGTCTCTACTACACTTGCCCCTGTGTTTACAGTTCCGGGGGCTTAGGCCCTCCGTACCATCACCAAAAACTGTTAAAATGTATTAAAACCCCATTTCCGGTATGGTATGGCTGTTTGGTTTGGTTTGATTGTATTTTACGTCCTAGTAACAGCTATAATATGATCATTTATGAGGACGTGACAGGTTTTGATGGTGGATGAAAACCGGAGTGCCCGGAGAAAAAAACACCGACATTCGGCCAGTACATGCTCACTGCCCAACTTCGGCCTCGAACCAACGACCTAGTGGTGGAAGGCTAGTGATCACAGACGGTCCCACGCCTTAACCACTCGTCCCCACCCTTCCCCGGTATGAATGTACTTATGATAAATCATTTCTGGAAAAAACGAATTTCATTTTGCGGGAATTTTCTGAAAAAATAACTTCCTCGGTAATCCTTACTGCCTGACATACATGTATAATACAGGCTTCTACTAACCGTATCTGTTGTTAGTGCTTAATAAGGCGTCTGAAGGTCTTGATCACTATAGCCCGCCAACACTGGGTCGCGGGTTCAATGCCAACGTAGGGCAATGAATAGCCCTCCACCACTGGGTCGCGGGTTCAAGTTTCAAGTGTTCAAGTTTTATTTTTACACTCACGCCACACGTAACTGTACGTGCGTAACGAGGTCACATATTACATAATATACATTGATGGACATATAGTACACACATAATATGGCACATGATACAATTTATACAATAACAACCCATTTCAATAATTCTTTTAGCTAACTTTTATTTCAGATATTAAGTAGCTTCATTACTCTTTGTATAAATTTACTTACTTTTGTTAAAAGTACCGTGTTACAAATTGAGAACATTCCTTTCATTTTGATATAAGTTGGGTTGACATAATAATAATTTGGTATATAAAGTTGTCTAAGAGCTACAACAGATACACTAGTACATTGGTATAAGTAGTGGTATTCGTCCCCAACACAGTTATTACATAGGGGACATAACTTTTCCTCGTGTAGGACTCTATGCCATCTTCCTGTTTCTATAGGAAATTTTATATTTGATGTTCTAAATTTACATATTACTTTTCGTTCATTACGATTTAGCTTTAAAAGATATGGTTCAATATTAAACTGAAATTTGAATAAGGAGTAAACTTGCCCTCGCGAAGAGGTTTCAACATCATGAAACCAACTTTGAATGAATTGATCGCATAATCTCTGCTTAATGATAGCTTTCACGCATTGTCTATTGATTGTACATGATATTTGGAAAGTCCATAAATGATTAAATCCAGTATTGTTTAAGATATCTCGTATATACGTTAATCATTTAAAACTTAATAAAGAATTCTGGTGAAAATTATACATTACACTAGATAATTTCGATCCACCCGTTATAAGCTTATGCCAGAACATAACCATTCTAACACTGTTTTCAATTTCTAGGGGATACCTTCTTAACTCACCATATACCATATAATTTGGGGTGCTCTTCCGAATGTTAAGAATTTCCTTACAAAACTGTAAATGTATTTTTTCGATAGTTTTGTATTTTCATAGCCCCAGATTTCACATCCATATAATAAAATAGGTGACACAAGTGCATCAAATAATTTCAGTTGAAGATCTACAGGAATGGAAATATTTCTAATCTTAATATTCAATGCATATAAAGCATTTTTGCTTGCTCTGTTAGTTTACTTTTGGCTTCTGTAAAACACCATTATAGTTTAATATTATTCCAAGATATGTGTACGAATCTTGTATTTCTGAAATCTCATTATTTAACGCAAAGTGATGGTCTCTTTTACTTTTTTTCAAAAATCAAAACTTTAGTTTTTTGGGTATTAACTGTTTATTTCCATATATTACAATAGTTTTGGAATTCATTCCATCCGTTCTGTAGGCCATCTGGTGTTTCTGACAAAAGCACTGTATCATCAGCATATAATATAATAAACAATTTTAAGTACAAACCTAAATTTTGATCACTAAGAGCATACACTTCATTCAAACAAGAAACATTACGTTGATTGAGGAAATCCTCTAGATCGTTAAGAAAGAGGGAAAACAAAAATGGCGATAAGTTTTCTCCTTGTTTTACCCCTACGTGGGGCAATCGCCAGGTATTTTCCACTGGTCGGTGGTTTTCCTTCGGGTACTCCGGTTTTCCTCCACAACCAAAACCTGGCACGTCCTTAAATGACCATAGCTGTTAATAGGATGTAAAACACAAACAAACAAACAAACAAACTATCCTTTGCACAACCAACACAAGTATTCTGTGCGTAAAACTGTAGCGTCGCTAAACAAGGATTCGAACCCTGGACGTCAGATTGTTCTAACACAATGAGCTATCTGGTCAACGATGGCATCATGGCCAAATTGTGTTACAGTTATACTCGAAACAAATTAAGGGGAGATAACTGTATAAACGAATTTTGACTAAAAGCCACAACGGAATTCATAGTGTTATACCAGCAGTAAGGTCCTTGAATTCGTAACAATTTGTGAACTATGGAACGGGGCGGTTGGAAGATTGTCACTCTTTCACTTCGTGACATTATTACGCTTTGTAGTTTAATGATAGATCACTTTCATTTTACAAAACATTTTTTTGAAGAACAATCAGCCAGGATTGTTTAAAATAGAACCATATTAAGATATTTTAGAAATATCGAGTATTTATCTTACATATAGCTGAACCTCAATCATATTCCTAAGCGACCTGACTTGTCATTTGTAAACACCTATTGCTTCGAAGGATCCTCGCTTTTGTTTTGTTTGTTTGTGTGTTCAGTCCAACGTTAGGTTTTGGAGGGAAACCGGAGTACCTGAAAAAACCCCGACCTGTGGGAAGAACCTGGCGACTGCCCGCTTTTGACCTAGAGCCAACGACCTAGTGGTGGAGGGCTAGGCTAGTGATTTAAGACTGTCAGACACCTTTAACCACTCGGCTACAGCTAGCGGCCCCTAGGAGAACCATTAACTTTCTACCTTCCTCATACTTTTATTTAAACTGTATACCAGCATTTGTGATATGTATTATAGATATTATAAATCTAAAAAGCATATCAAAATGAGTATTGATGTTTCCTACAGAATTCAGTCATTCAATGTCTGTGAAAAAATAGGCCTGCTGATTATCACAAGAGGCGACTAATGTGGAGCAATTTGCAGAATCTTTTTATTTATGTGTGTGTCTTCTGCTTAAGGTGACATTGAAGAAGCATAAATGATCTGCTGTTCCGATTTCAATACTTAGGATCTAGAGTTTTTCTTTCTTTCCAACTAAATCTGTTAGGTGTCGTCTCCATAGATATACCCGTCGTCCTATGATCTTTGTTGTGAGAGGAGGTTAAACCCCAAATAGATAAACAAACAAACAAATAATCAATTTAACAATCAAAATAACATCTGTTACCCCAAACACTTTTAAATTTAATAAAGTGTACATTATATTGCTCAACAAGTACATGGTAGACCCAGAGAGGCTTCAAGAGCTTCAAGGACGGATACGGTTTGCGGTAGGCTTTGATCAGCGAGAAAGATATGTGTCAAACAAGGAAATGCGTTTACGGACGTGCTGTACCGGAGTACATGTAGTTGTTCGATATTGTGCATTTTGTTCACGAACTTCTGACTCTATTATATATATACTAATCCACTGAGTACCTACTCGACTAAACAGGGGGAAGGTATTGAGGCTGTTTCCGTTCACAAACCACAAACACACTTGAGTTTAAGTTTACAGCCATAGTACCACGGGCTTTGTATTTACAGGTCTTTCCTGTTATATATATATATATTAGGGTTCTAGACACCTAATTTTGAGGTGTTCAAATTATTTAACCTGACTTACACTGATAAATTGAAACTTAGGAAGTGACGCAGGCAAATTGACAGTGACCAAGTGAAATATCAATTGGCAGACCAATGGATTCGCAGATTGACTGACAAATTGACAATTGCTAAATTACACGGACAAACGTCACTCATGCAAACAGCCCGATAATGCTACAGGACACATACTACTAAGTCTTGTTACTTTGCATTCAAAGTTTTGTATTTGTATTTGTATTTGGAATCCAAATCAAAATTGCATTTATCCATCTGTGGCTCTACCACTATATTCCGTCTTTTCGAATTGCAGAGTTATCTGCTCTTGTGAGCAGGTATTGATTGTTACGTCATTTATTTGTGAGAGTAACGTCATCAATGTTTGAGAAAACGACGTAATTTTCTCACACAAACCTATGACGTAACAATCAATATCTGCTCACAAGAGAAGATAACTCTGCAATACGCAAAGACGGAATATCTCTACCAACTGCGGATGGCATTCATTTGTTGACGTCATCATTTTGATGCCATTGTAATAACATACATATATAATTGTTATTTTGTTGGATACCATGGACCCTCCACGGAAAATGACTGTCCTATTCATGAAACAAGTTTCCGCGATGCATTCACATATTTGACCTCTATATTGAATTTCATTTGGTTAATAAAACAGATTTTAACTTCTATGATTTTAAAATACGCAAAGAATAGTTAACAACATTGCTTAAAGAAACAACTAAAAACATAAAAATAACGATTATCTGTCTCTTTGGAAATGTTTGCGATTATCATCAACAAATAACAAAATGAAGAACAAGAGAAAATGATCCATTGTTTTCAAATATACATAATTGTAAAATATCAAAAATATCAATAAATATCTGCAAAATAATAAAATTCACAAATTGGCGGTTAAAATAGATAAATCCGAACACATACTTGCTTCCCCAATTATGTACCACATCTTTAAAATACAGAACTTACTCGTTCATGTACGTCACACCATTGGAGCCGCACACCTGATCAAAATCCTCCTCACAACGGTGTCCCGTGATATCCTCACACATAAACTGAAGTAGTAGCAGCTCCCCTGATGTGAGGTTGCTCGTCAGGTGGCTCTGCCCGTTGCACGAGCCTTCGTGCACCACGTGTATATGGTTGTTCAGACAATGGGATTTTGTGAACTCACACCTATAATGAGTAGTGGGACAAGTTTTAAATATATATAGAGCTACTTTCGCCGTCTAACTTTAAGACATTTCTCTTTAGCTCAATTTGAAGAGCAGCGGACATGGATGCTGGGGGGTCATGGTTCGATCTTCTCTAGAAGCTCACACCTCCTTTTCTGTTATAGATACATTTAATTGAAGATAAAAGTACATTTCAGTTATTTTATAAATGACATTTATTTCACGTAATCTCACAGCATTCAACACATATAGTGAAATGTTCACGGTGCAACATACTTTTTAGTCTCGTTCAACCAGACTCTTGTTGTCTGCGCAAGCTACGCCGAACAGAGAATTACAAAGTGATCAAGCGTCTGGTTGAACGAGACTTCATACTTTCAAATCTTTCGAACCAACAACTTCAGGTTCCGGTTTTTACGTAGCTTACCTGTTGTAGTAGGTGTAATTGTCCGTGCCACACATCAGATGTTCTCCGTACGGGTAACAGGCTCGATGTCTGATGGACGAACAGTACCAACTGGACCGTTTGTCTCCTTCATCAATGGCGATCACTGAAGACAAAGTGTTAGATGTTTTGAACAGATCATCATCACAGGGACCTGAGAATTTATTACAGCTATATTGTTACCTAAACTAAGGTGTTCAGTGTAATTTCACATGTTTTAGGGGTTTAGATCGACTTTCGGTAAAAAAAAAATGGGAGAAGATAAATTCACATCATAGTCACCTAACCTGTTTGGCATACAAGTTCAGGCATTTATTCTGAATCAATAGTATTTTCCAAACAACTTCTGAATCAACGTTACAAATGAGTTATTTATTTTATGTTTAAACCTACTGATATCGTAATTTGTGCGGTTTAAACATTCACCCTTCGTTACCCTCTTGCGTGCTTATACTTTAAAAACAATACATAGGAATGCTATTACAAGCCCCGTGTGCAATATACAAACACGTCTTTCTTGTTTAATGGCTATAAAAGTGTGAAAAGTGGTCTATTAATTTGTGAAAAAAATAGCTATTTATATGATTTGAACACAAATTCTGACATGAAAACGTAAGCTGTAGGTATCGAACGTATGTGTTTCCGATTGTACGCAGCGTATACGTACTACATGTACTACTGCCTGCATCCGTCCAGCTATCCCTGAGGTATTTATTATATTCCTTACTCACACGAGGAACAATGACGTGAAACTTGTTCAAGATATCTGTACAATTACACGTCATTAAGAGTATTATCTCGTTGAAGGGTCTCTTGTGGCTTTTGGTATATACATTTTTATTAATTTTGTTTTGTATCGCAGTTTCTTTTCAGAAGTGAGCTAGTAAAGCTCGTAGTCATGCCGAAAAAACACTGTTTCTGATGCATTTCACAGTTTGGCGTGGGTACGGAGTTATTGGGATTATCATAGATAAAATCTTCAGGAACATGTAAATAGAAACATGGATCGTCCGCTTAGATATTTCTTATCGTGAATTCAAATCCATGCCAAGCAATTGAATAATAGAGAACATAAGGCAACTGTCAGTTTACATGGTGCGAGTTCGTACCGGGAAGAACATTTTAAGGATCCCTGTCCCTCTGCAATGTATTTGTCCTATCTACAGTAATCCCCCCCCCCCCCCCCCCCCATTAACTTCCGTTTAGATATATGTGTCCGGACACTTCCGTTGACCAGACAGGTCAATCGGTTAAAACAATGGTATTAAAATATGAAGTTCCTGGCCCAAGAATCATGAAAAAATCTTAAGTCTAAACATGTCTATAGTTTTGACTTGGCCAATCAGAAATAACGTCATGAAAAGTGACGTCATCTGTGATTGGCTAAGCAAAACTTAAGTCTAAGATTGTTTCAATGATCCCAGGGCCAGGGTTCGAATTCCGATCTCGTCCCACTGAGTTTTGTTACATTCAGAACACTGTTGTTGATTATATTTTGTTTATTTCATCTTTAATTTTTCTTATGAAAGTCCAGCATATTATGGCTTTCTTTTGAGAAATAATTTTCAAAGCTATATAGTCATGAAGTTTAAAACATTTTTCAAAACTTAGTTTCATTTTTTTGGTAGTGATAAGGGATCCTTAATACGCTCATAATTATATTGAACATTTTAATTTCACTATCTATGTATTTACAATTTCACTATCTATGTATTTACAATTTCACTATCTATGTATTTACAATTTCACTATCTATGTATTTACAATTTCACTATCTATGGTTACAATTTCACTATCTATGTATTAAAAATTCCACTATCTATGTATTTACAATTTCACTATCTATGTATTTACAATTTCACTTTCTATGGTTACAATTTCACTATCTATGGTTACAAATTCATTATCTATGTATTTACAATTTCACTATCTATGTATTTACCATTTCACTATCTATGTATTTACAATTTCACTTTCTATGGTTACAATTTCACTATCTATGGTTACAAATTCATTATCTATGTATTTACAATTTCACTATCTATGTATTTACAATTTCCCTATCTATGTATTTACAATTTCACTATCTATGTTTACAATTTCACTATCTATGGTTACAATTTCACTATCTATGGTTACAATTTCATTATCTATATATTTACAATTTCACTATCTATGTATTTACAAGTTGACTGTCTATGTATTTACAATTTCACTATCTATGTACTATCTATGTTTACAATTTCACTATCTATGTATTTACAGTTTCACTATCTATGGTTACAATTTCACTATCTATGGTTACAAATTCATTATCTATGTATTTACAATTTCACTATCTATGTACTATCTATGTTTACAATTTCACTATCTATGGTAACAATTTCACTATCTATGTATTTACAATTTCCCTATCTATGTATTTACAATTTCACTATCTATTGGTACAATTTCACTATCTATGTATTTACAATTTGACTATCTATGTTTACAATTTCACTATCTATGTATTTACAGTTTCACTATCTATGGTTACAATTTAACTATCTATGTATTTACAATTTCACTATCTATGTTTACAATCTCACTATCTATGTTTTTACAATTTCACTATCTATGTATTTACAATCTCACTATCTATGTTTACAATTTCACTATCTATATATTTACAATTTCACTATCTATGGTTCCAATTTCACTATCTATGTATTTACAATTTCACTTTCTATGGTTACAATTTCACTATCTATGGTTACAATTTCATTATCTATGTATTTACAATTTCACTATCTATGTACTATCTATGTTTACAATTTCACTATCTATGGATTTACAGTTTCACTGTCTATGTATTTACAATTTCACTATCTATGTATTTACAATCTCACTATCTATGTTTACAATTTCACTATCTATGGTAACAATTTCACTATCTATGTATTTACAATTTCACTGTCTATGTATTTACAATTTCACTATCTATGTACTATCTATGTTTACAATTTCACTATCTATGTATTTACAGTTTCACTATCTATGGTTACAATTTAACTATCTATGTATTTACAATTTCACTATCTATGTATTTACAAGTTGACTGTCTATGTATTTACAATTTCACTATCTATGTACTATCTATGTTTACAATTTCACTATCTATGTATTTACAATTTGACTATCTATGTTTACAATTTCACTATCTATGGTAACAATTTCACTATCTATGTATTTACAATTTCACTGTCTATGTATTTACAATTTCACTATCTATGGTTACACTTTCACTATCTATGTATTTACAATTTCACTATCTATGGTTACAATTTTACTATCTATGTATTTACAAAATCACTATCTATGTATTTACAATTTCACTATCTATGTTTACAATTTCACTATCTATGTATTTACAATTTCACTATCTATGGTTACAATTTCACTATCTATGGTTACAATTTCATTATCTATATATTTACAATTTCACTATCTATGTATTTACAATTTCACTATCTATGTATTTACAATTTCATTATCTATGTATTTACAATTTCACTATCTATGTTTACAATTTCACTATCTATGGTAACAATTTCACTATCTATGTATTTACAATTTCACTACCTATGTTTACAATTTCACTATCTATGTGTTTACAATTTCACTATCTATGGTTACAATTTCACTATCTATGTATTAAAAATTCCACTATCTATGTATTTACAATTTCACTATCTATGTATTTACAATTTCAAAATAGATTTACATTAAAATACTCACCAGAGAGCGCTACAAACACGAGCACAAACGGACCGAACATCTTTGCAAATAGCGACTAGTCCTGTAGCAAGAGAATTTGTGTTTCTTATCAAAGTCACGACGATTATGTACTAGACCGTTACACCTATGTCACGGGGTCATTTATCTACAGGACCTTATCGGTAAGTGTGTACGTCTAAACCACTATTAGTGCAATGTTAGGACACGAAATCGACAAGTTATGTAAATAATTGTTTATAAATGGCATTTGAACTGATTCAAGCACTATAAGTTATCTATAGGGGTTCAAATAACATACTGAATCCTTTTTTTAAATTTTAGACCATTCTGTATCAATTTAGAATTAACACGTAGTATATAGTGTAGTACAAAAGATGAATATAATATATCGCCCCTGTGATTTTTGAAGTAAATAGCACGAGGCTTTTTTGTTTGCTGAAATTCGAAACTCTTATACCGAGGGTTGAAATTACTTTGTTTGCATCACACTGGGGGGATTGATCTCCCACTCCTCAGTGCTGTAAATCTAACTTGTAAAACTGAACCCAATGTGCCGCAACATTAAATGTGCGACAAAATCGATGACGCTGCATAAAGTTGTGACGCGATGGTGACGTTTTCGGGATTATAGCCCACCCGTCGGTAGGTAAAGAGTAAAGACAATAATAGAGCTATTTAGAATCATTTAAAGTTATATACCGTTTAACTGAACGACAGTTTTAACCCGTATTGTGACAACAACAAGCTCTTGGTGTAACAGAATTCTTAGTGTAATAAAACCCCTTAGTGGAACATTTGTTACACTAAGACATTTTGTTACACTAAGGGTCGCAAAAACTGTATGCATTACAAAGTGACTTGCTGTAAACCGGAGCGTTGAGCGTTGTGATCGCAAACCTCAATGTAACAAACAAATCATGTTGTATTTGCTTACCGATAGGGGAAATAATGTCGGATTTTGATATGAATTTAATTATTAAATTCGAGTTTATACAAAGCAAGTTTTACCTGTGAGCTCAAACAGCTGGATAAGTTAGATGCCTTGTTGTGTAATTTTATTAGATACAAGGTAAAGAGAGAATAGTACTTGACATGTAGGTACTTATTAGTTAGAACATTATATGTTAATAATGTACAGTCTGTTTGTAATTGATACCATGATACATGTTATATGGGGGTGGGTGGGGGGTGGGGGTGGGGGGTATATAAGCTATTAGTTTCAGAGGAAGGGTCAATTAGGTAACATGTGCAATAAAGTGATGAGGCCAGAATATTCATTAGTAGTCACGTGACTAATTGACCAATGGTCAGTAAGTATAGTGACGCTTGGCCAGTTGCTAGAAAAAGTTTGGAGGGAAAGCAGAGAATTTATCACTGGACTAATTAAGTCAAACAACATTTTACATCGATCTCTATACCTCATCTTGATTATACCACATCATTTCCGAATCTCGGAATACAGTATTGGCTATCTGCTGGGTCAAAGTGTGTAGTGATCACTTGTTAATTACGAACTTTCCAAACTGTGTTTCACTGGAGCAACTGGTTCTGTGGCTGGAGGAAATAGTCAGACAGGTATCGTAAATAACACGTGCCTAATGAAGGTCAGTGACTTTATTTATCAGCAACTTTAGATGCAGACATGATAACAACCACACATCTGTTCCAGTCTCTTTGATTTTGTTTAGACCTATTTGTTTCATCGCGGTGTTTGTAAACATGGGGCCTAAACGCAACAACAGGTCTGTGCCTTATGACGTAAATTTACCGGAGAACTGGACAGCAAAGAAATTGCGAGAAGAGCTGAGCAAACTTGGTGTGAATGCTTCCACGTCTACAAAGAAATCACAGCTAATTATTTTGTTTAAAGCCAGTGCAGTATCCGTGACCCCCGATCAAGATATTTTGCCCCCCACACGAACAGCTGGGCGGATGTTGGGTAACACTACCCATAATGCCAGCGCATCAGACAACCAAGATGGCGGCTCAGCGGTCGTGTCTGCCGTGTCACAATTGACAGATACCATCGTAGCGATGAGGGAGGACATGCAGAGAATGCAAGATAGAATAAGCAGCATGGAGAGCAGCCATATCCCTGCAGCGGCCACAGGAAGTCACCTACAAACGGCGACAGACGTAGGAATCAGAATGATCCCTATCAACAGACAGGTTGATATCACGGTACCACAGGATCCCGTACAGTCTACTATTTCTCCGCCAGCCGCCCCCTCAGGTTTCAGTGACATGGTGGGAGTGAATTCTGAGAACCTCCCTTTCGTTGAAACTATCGCACCAGTGATCAGGAGGAACATCCTTGAAGGTAAGGACGTGAATTTGTCAACTCTCCTGATACCGTACTATCATGGCCCAAATGTCAACGGGGGATCTGATCGACCTGACCCAAGACTGCAACGCAATCTGAACATCGGGGAATTCATACAAGCTTTCGGGATATATAAGAATATTTTATGCGACACATTCCCACACCGGCGCAACAAATTGGATTTATATGAGAGGGATATAGTTGAGATGGCAACTAGATATGGAGGGGGTGGGTTCTACGAGTACCACAAACAATTCAGTGCTAAAGCCGCCGCTCACCTCCTCTATCACAACAAACGTGTTAAGTGGGGACTCCGCAACAACACCCTATTCTGCAACATATTTGCAAACCTGAAACCGGTGACATGTAATTTATGTCAGAGTGTTAGTCATGTGTCTGGATTCTGTCCACTCAGTGTATTCCCAAACCAGCAGTCTCAGAGGCAGTCACATAATGCTAACAACAACAACAACAATATCAAGAAGCCAAATGCAAGCACAGATTTACATGGTAGAACCAAGAACTACAGCCAGAACTCGGAAATCTGTAACAATTTCAATGACAAGGGATGTAGCCGCTTTCGTTGCAGCTATTTGCATGTGTGCATTATATGTAAACAGGACCATTCAAAAAATGTGTGTACTGCAGCCAACAATCAGGATGCAAAAAACGACCAAGTTTCCCGTGCCAGCCACCGTCGCGGGAATCAGTAGTGGGGTTTCCGATTGTTTCTACTCCAATCAACATAGATGAACTTGAGAAACAGCTCACTTACCATCCGGATAAACAGTTTGTAAAACATCTCCTCGGTGGCTTACGTCCAGGTTTCCACACCGGTATACAACACATGCCTCAGACAACTTTAGAATGTAATAATTTATTGTCAGCACGAAGACAACCGGACATTGTGTCTCATTTGATTCAAACAGAAGTGGATAAGGGGTTCTTGGCAGGTCCATACAAAACCATGCCCTTTGAAGTGTACAGAATTAATCCTATCGGAATAGCAGAGGGAAAATATTCCAGAAAGAAAAGACTTATTGTGGATTTATCTTCCCCACATAATGATGAGGATAACCCCAGCTTAAATGAGTTGATTGACAAAAGAGATTACTCGTTACAATATGTTACTATTGATCATGCTGTAAACATTATCAAGCAATTAGGTAGGAATAGTTGGATGTGTAAGACGGATATATCAGATGCATTTAAGTTAGTGCCCATTCATCCATCACTGTGGCCTTTTCATGGTATCCAATGGGAGGGATGTTATTACTTTTATACGCGATTAGTGTTTGGCAGCAGATCCAGCCCTAAGATTTTTGACTTGCTTTCTTCAGCAGTTTGTTGGATTGCGGAAAATCAGTATAAAATTAAACATATATTGCATCTTCTGGATGATTTCCTAACTATCGACCCTCCTAATCATCCAGCTAACGAGACAATGACAAACCTTATGGAAGTCTTTAGGACGTTGAATATTCCAGTTGCGAAACATAAAACGTCAGGACCTACTTATTGCTTAGAATATTTAGGAATCGTGTTGGACACTGAGAATATGCAAGCTCGAATGCCGGAGGAAAAAATTGTGCGTATATGTGAATTTCTCGCTGCTTTTAAAGAAAGGAAAACGTGCACCAAACGGGAATTATTGAGCTTGTTAGGACACTTAAATTTTGCAAGTAAATGTATTCCGCATGGACGGTCTTTCGTGTCATACTTGATAGGCCTATCTACCAAAGTTAAAGAACTTCAGCATCATGTGCATCTTACGCGAGAGTGTAGACTTGACATGGAAATGTGGTTGATATTCCTAACCCAATGGAACGGGTTGTCGTTTTTTTCTAAATGACAATGTTACTGTGGCAGCTGACATGCACTTATTTACTGATGCAACCGACAAAGCTTTCGGGGGTTTTCATGGGAACCATTGGTTTCAAGGAGAGTTTCCAGAGGACATGACTTTAGACGGCGAAAAACTATCTATGGTCTTTCGGGAATTATATTCTATTGTGATGTGTTGTGTGCTGTGGGGGAAAGGATGGTCTAGGCAGAGAATTTTGTTTCACTGTGACAATATGGCAACAGTTGATATTATCAACAGGGGAAGATCAAAGTCCAGTGTGATTATGAAACTGATGAGAAAGTTAACATTTTGTTCAGCATCATACAATTTCATAGTTCATGCTCAACACATTCCAGGAATTAAGAACACTGTAGCTGACGCCATTTCTCGTTTTCAGATGAACAAGTTTCAAAGGCTCGCTCCATCAGCAGACCGGTATCCAACTCCATGTTTGTCAGCACCCAGCCTCCTACAACTCTGAGGGACCAAGTGAAAGAGCTATGGGAGGCGGCCATCAGCCCACAGACAGCTCAGGCATATTCAGTAGCAATTAACCACTTGTTACGTTTCCTCACGTTGTTTGGAATAGTCACACCGACAGGAGAACTTCCAATATTGTCAGAAGACTTACTTATATATTTCGTGTCCTACTGNCAGCTGGATAAGTTAGATGCCTTGTTGTGTAATTTTATTAGATACAAGGTAAAGAGAGAATAGTACTTGACATGTAGGTACTTATTAGTTAGAACATTATATGTTAATAATGTACAGTCTGTTTGTAATTGATACCATGATACATGTTATATGGGGGTGGGTGGGGGGTGGGGGTGGGGGGTATATAAGCTATTAGTTTCAGAGGAAGGGTCAATTAGGTAACATGTGCAATAAAGTGATGAGGCCAGAATATTCATTAGTAGTCACGTGACTAATTGACCAATGGTCAGTAAGTATAGTGACGCTTGGCCAGTTGCTAGAAAAAGTTTGGAGGGAAAGCAGAGATTTTATCACTGGACTAATTAAGTCAACCCACCCACCTCCCTGATACAAGCAATCTTACTTAACTGATATGTGTGCATGTCTTTCAATATTAAAGAGGTGATCATTCCGTAATTGTAGTGATTAAGGACAACTGTGATGTTTGGTACTTTATGTTAATTTGGTTGGTTTAACCAGTTATCATAGATCTAAGGGTTGAAGTGTACATGTGAAGCAGACAGCTGGGCATTATAGTCCAGCACCTGATTGTTTCATGGTGATTAGCCCAGATAATTTCATTGTAAGGTTATCTAACAATACTATATATATAGTTGTGTTTAAAACACCTACCATATGCATATGGTAGGTCGCATTGTTATGCATGTTGGTTATATATATTATATAATGCCATATAACTAGCATTACTTCATTGACAATGGGTTACCTGTATGACTGATAAGAACTAGATAAATAGTAGGCCAATAAATTTATCAAGACGGCCAATAAATTAATCAAGACGGCCAATAAATTCAACAAAATGAATTTTACCCCCAATTCAGACAAATTAGTATTTCTCTGTATCCAGTGATCAGACTATAGGTTGTTTTTACCGGGCTCCCCCTAATTACAACCTTGGACCTGTAGACTAACAGATGATTATCTACAGGCTCCATTAAGGATACACTAATATTAATTACTCTTATTAAATTATGATATCATTTCATCTGTCATTTTATGTAATATATTGCTGTATCCTGTGAACGCCCGCAGGCTATAGGCTGTCTTTGCCGGGGCTCCCCCCAATTACAGCCCTGGACTTGTAGACTAACAGATGCTTATCTACAAGCTCCAGTAGGATACACTAATATTATTACAACATTTAGTACCTGTATTATCTGCCAGTAGTTAATATATATCTGTACCATGTGACCATGCAGACTAGGCTGTCTTTGCCGGGCTCCCCCCAATTACAGCCTTGGACCTGTAGACTAACAGGACATTATGCCATTATCTACAGGCTCCAATTATGATACACCAATATTAACTACACTGGCAGATAGCATATATCAGCTGCCAATAGCAGTCATACAGAGTAGCCCCAAGAATGCCAAATTGTTATAATTATGTAGTAAACAATTATGAGTAAATAAACAATATTTCAACTATACTTTCTGTCTTTGTTGTTTTGTATAAATTGCAATGTGTATCAAAGCTATGTAAATTTCATTTTCGATTTCATTTCCAATATCGAGATACAGGGATAGAACTTCCAGTAGCGGGACCAGTTGCAACAAGACTTTGCGATTGCAGCGGGGGGAAATCTCGGTGATGAAAGACGCTGGAGTGATGTTCCTTGGTTATACAATATTCAATATAAATTATAAAGACATTATAAGCCTCCATTAAATATGTCAAACAAATCAATGATCAGTGGAACTAAATACAACAGCAACAACAACAAAAGTTCTCATTTTCTCGGATTCGAACTGAGATTGAAATATTTTGCAGATAGTTTTGATAAATTCTTTGCCTTTTTGCCACGTTAAAGTTCATAGTTAATATCATGATGAAGTTGTTTCTTTTCATATATTTAGGAAAATCCATTCTGACGCAAAAAGAAAATGACCAGATATGACATCACCTCCATGGTGGGTATGTACGCAATACATAAATCATGTGACGTCATACCAGTTTTGTCAGAATAAAAATAAAGTTTATTAACAACAGTTTTAAACTGACTTGTGACGCCGACGATGTCCTCCGCTCGTACTTGGGAGATAACGTCGGGGATGGGTTACTTTTCAACGACCGTCTCACTGACATCCGGAAAATAGACATATGCAATATTTCACCCTCTTATAGCGAGATGGACAAATCATAACCCGAGAGTAAGATTATTAAATTGTCAAAAATTAAGGCGCCTGTGATTTAATTCCTAGTGTCACAATTAAATGACGTCATTAACAATTGACTTCTCTTCATGCTGAATGCAATTGTTGTTTATTTTAAAAAGTTTGAAAATTAAAGTCAATTTTATGATTAGGTTGAGAAAAAAAATATGTTTTGATAAATCCTCATTTTTTAAAACAAGCAATTGTTTTTGCCTGTGTTATCTGTTTAGTTCAATAATCTTCGAGGAGGATTGAACGATTAAATCCTCAGTGTTCTGTCCAGGTTTATGGGATATAAACCTCAATGTGTTTTAGGCAAATTTTAAAGCAATTCGACTCAAGACCAATTGAGATTTCTACCACAAGACATTACATTATCATTCACTAAGATTTTGTTTTTGAATTTTAGCTCACCTGCCCGAAGGGCAAGTGAGCTTAAGTCATGGTGCGGCGTCCGTCGTCCGTCCTCGTCCGTCAACTTTTCCTTTAAACAACTTCTTCTAAAGAACGGACAGGCCTAAAGTCATGATATTTGGCTGAAAGCTTTGTTGGTAGGAGCCGAAAATGACATTGACGTACTTTCAAGGTTACAGCGGTCAAATATGTTAAACGCTAAAAACGACTTCTTCTGAAGAACTATAAGTAATATAACCTTCCTAGTTGGCTGGTAGCTTCCTGGAATGGAGCCCAACAAAGTTTGATAACGAAAATGACCTTGACCTTCTTTCAAGGTCACAGGGGTCCAATGTGTCAAATGCTTCAAATGACTTCACCTGGAGAACTGAAAGGTATAGAATCTTTATATTTGGTTAATGGCTTCCTGAGATAGAGCCTAACACAGTTTGAGAACGAAAATTACCTAGACATACTTTCAAGGTCAAAGGGGTCAAATTTGTCAAACACTTCAAACGACTTCTCCTGAAAAACTAAAAGGTATAGAATCTTTCTATTTGGTTGGTGGCTTCCTTGGATAGAGCCCGGCAAAGTTTGATAACAAAAATGACCTTGACCTACTTTCAAGGACACAGGAGTCAGAAATGTCAAATGCTTAAAACGACTTCTTCTGAAGGTCTGAAAGTTATAGAAGCTAAATATTTGGCTGGTAACTTCCTAGGAAAGAGTCCAACAAAGTTTGAAAATGAAAATGACTTTGACCTACCTTCAAGGTCACAGAGGTCAAATATGTCAAACCCTTCAAACGACTTCTTCTGAGGAAATAAAAGGTATATAATCTTCATGTTTGGCTAGTGGCTTCCTGGGATGGAGCCCAACAAGGTTTGAGAATGAAAATGACCTTGACTTTTTTTCAAGGTCACAGCGGTCAAATATGTCAAACTTTTTAAACGACTACTTCTGATGAACTAAAAGGTATATAATCTTCATATTTGGCTGATGGTTTCCTGAGATAGAGCCCGGGAAAGTTTGAGAATGAAAATGACCTTGACCTTCTTTTAAGGTTACAGGGGTCAAAATTGTCAAAAACATCAAATGTCTTCTTCTGAGGAACTAAAAGGTATATAATCTTCATATTTGGCTGATGGTTTCCTGAAAAAGAGCCCGGCAAAGTTTGAGAATGAAAATGACCTTGACCTTCTTTCAAGGTTACAGGGTCAAATTTGTCAAAAACATCAAATGTCTTCTTCTGAGGAACTAAAGGGTATAGAATCTTCATATTTGGCTGATGGCTTTCTGGGATGGAGCTCACCAAAGTTTGCGAATGAAAATGACCTCAACCTACTTTAGAGGTCACAGGGGTCAACAACATTTTAAAGGATTTGTTCTTAAGATCTAAAAGGAATGGATTCATAAGATTTGGCTGGTAGCTTTTTGGAATAGAGCTCACCAATTTGAGAAGGGAAATGACATTGACCTACTTACAAGGTCACAGGGAAAAATATGTCAAGCAACTTAAGAAAAATATAAAAGCACAGAATCTTATAATAATATTTGGCTGATAGTTTCAACAGATGGAACCGACAAAGTTTACGAGGGATATATTTGTAGTGCATTATAATATTTATTGAGAATGTTTTGCTATGACTGCTTAAATATTCAGGTGAGCGATACAGGCCCTCTGTGCCTCTAGTTGATATTTTTTTGAATATCGGACTTGTGCAGGTCTAATACCACAAAGAATGTTGTAAACAAATAATGCTTCTCCAATATTAGGCCATTATATTGCAATGATAGTACCAAGACTACTTCGATTACAATTTTCTATTCTCCTTAGTTGCAGTGCTGGTCCTCGGCTGTAGCGGTCAGCCCGAGAGTACACCCTACTGTCGCTTTATTGCCCAGGTGAAATGCGCGAGTAAGGGGAACAACGCCCTGTGTGGCACGGACGGAACTACGTACCAAAATGAGTAAGTCGAGTGATCTTACATATTGCAAGTGTATTTCGTTATAACGCCGAAATAAAGACAATTATCGTTATTTCCGGGTAGTATGGTTTGGTTTGGTTAAGTATTGTTTAATTAACGACCTATCAACAGCTATGGTTATTTACGGACGGCCTCCCCTGTGTGCAAGATGCATGCGTGTAGTGTATGCGTGTGTGTTTTGGGAGGCTGCGATATGTTCGTGTTTGTCTCCTTGTGATAGCGCGGAACTGATGCCGACTTTATAGTGCTACCTCACTGAAACATACTGCCGAAGACCCCCAGCAGGACACCCGACCAGGTCACATTATACTGACAACGGGCGAACCAGTCGTCCCACTCCTAAATTGCTGAACGTTAAGCAGGAGTAGAAACTACCTTTTTTACAGACTCTGGTATGTCTCGGCCAGGGGATAGAACCCACAGCCTTCCTTACAGGGGCGAACACTCAACTTCGAAGAAGAAAGTTGTTTAGAAAGAAGAGAAAAGATAAGATTCCAAATTAAGTCGCCTCTTGCGATCATGCAATGGGAGCAGCAGGTACAATACTTACGCCCTACCTGTAGGTACAATACTTACGCCCTACCTGCAGGGACTATTTCTGGTAAAATCAGCGATAAGTAGCTTTGTGAAAATAAAATTAGCGAGTCGAAAAACATTTTCTTTATCGTTCATCACGAAATGAAATAGTTTGTTAGAAGACATATGTTGGGTCGCTAATTAGCTAACTGAGATTTTGATTATTTTGCGTAAGATTTCCTTCTTTCTGTTATACGACAGTTCGCTGCGAAAAGACGAAATGGCGCACATATCAGCCAGAAATGTTACGCTTACTTATGTTCTCTGCATTCCTGGAAATATATCATGACGAATATGATATTGATATGTTATTAGTTAATTCATTGAGCTTAACAGCTTAGGTTAAGTGCAAAATGTTTGTAACAAAGATGGCACAGTAAATACATACAACGATGCACATATACTGGTAATACAAATGCGCACAGCCAGTCTAGATTTACAATATGTCACAAAATTGAACGCTCTGTACGTCCCTCCTTGTGAACGATACAAATAGACTAGTTTGATCCTATGATGTACATGAAAGAATCGCACGGCAGTGTAACGGTAAACTTGCCCGACTTTGATAACCTTGTAGACGATCATATATGTCTTCTGTTTGGAGCAAACAAATACGTCGTCTTCATATTAACTTGTGTGTTCCGAAGACGCAAAATTGCAAAGAGACAAACATAAACAATAAATAAATAAATAAACAAACAAACAAACAAACAAACAAACAAACAAACAAACAACAACTCAAAGTCGTCGAAAAATTTAATGTTGTAGATGCTCATTGCTGAAAGCTCACTGTGGTAGATCATCAATCAAGGTAGCTCATAGAGGATCGTGTCCAACGCCCCCTTCCGTCGCCACTGGGATGGGCGTGGTCGCCAGTTCAGACATAGCTCTTGACGTGTTCTGTCTGGATCTTTTCAAACACTCTTGTAACAACGAGCAACGCCAGAACGTGTGTGGAACGGACGGAACAACGTACATAAATCTGTGAGTAGGATATACAGGGGTTACAGCCGGAAGAAAGGACATGAACGTTATTTTAATAATACGTTTAAGGAAAGAGAAGATGATATATGTGGCGCTGTATACGCATCAAAATTCAATAATTTTGAATGTGAAAAATAATACTTCATACCCAAAACGCTTTTATATATGTAGATTTCGAATTTTGCAAAACGATGTTATCAATCTGATTGAATATTTGTAGGTAGATTTAACTGTTTTTAACCCCTTCCAAAAACAAATCTAGAGGGGATAGAGGGTTGATTCGTCAAATCATTATGCGAGATATCCATTTGTCTATCCGTTGTGCTTTCCTCATGATAGCTTGGGAACGAATAATCGGTACAAAGATCGAATTTGGTGTCTGGTCTGGGTGATTTTGGGTGTGGTTCATCGGATGTCAAGGTCACCATTATTGAAAATAGAATATTGCCTCATTATGTTTGTCGAGATAATAACTTAAGAATAAAATACCAAACAAAGTTCAACCTCAGTATGTTGGGTGCCCTAGTTATTGCAATAAGCTACTTGTTTTAAGGACAGACAGTCAGAGTTCCACATTACCGTTGCTTAAAATAGAACTTTGCTTCTCTGTATGACAACTTGAAACTAAAAACTAGACAACTCAAACAAATAGCAAACCTTATAAACAACGTCTTCTCGCCGGCTCTTCTAGTAACTTAACCAAGCATTATTCAGACGTTTCCAGTTGTCCTTAGCATCATTAAGTCAGAGCTACAATGATACTGTGAGTTTGTGACACCTAGTGCTCCAGAAATGGAATTAATCGATTTTAGATTTCGAAGATCTAAAAAGATCTTTAGATCATTCCTGAATATCTTTTCCGCACACTACTCCACGCATTAGTGCTGTTGTAACGATTTTTTTCCCCGAGAAAGGCGAACGGCTTCTAGAATTATATATTGTCGTAAACAATTTTGAAGCAGAATTTGTGAAAACTGGAGAAAAAACCCTAGATAAAACAGGGCGTATTCATGAGGATGAATGAGCTCCAGGTGGCCAATATCTTTGTTGAATTCGGTGATAAGAGTATTGGTGCACTGTTGGTTTACCCACGCTGTGTTCCTTTCTTGATCAAGTTATTGTTGTTTTCATGTGAGGCTGAATTTATCGAAGAACTCGTCAGCATTGGTAACATAGGTCTAGGTTTTCCAAGTCCCTCAATTTCAGATATGTCGATAATGTGTTGCATTTCGAAAACAACGAATTCATTGCAAACGTCTATTGCGTCAATCCTGCTGAATTTGAAATAAAAGTTGCCACAGAATCTTTTCCATCAGCCGTTTTTTCAGTATTAATTTACTATTTAGGTGTATGATAAGCTGTAAAATGAAAGTGATGAAAGTGATTTTCCGACAATGTACTTTTCTATAGAGCTGCATCTTTATAATATTATATTTACATTTGCTCTGCGTCCTTCAATTGCAAGGCATTAAGAAGGCAAATGTTGTTATGAGACTATAACAAAATTTGCTATTGTACACGTAACGTCATCAATTTCATTGTTGTCAACACTTAATTTGATGTCATAAGAACTGTTCGAAATAACTTAATAAAACATTATAATACTCTATCAAAATGTAAATATAAGTAATGAATATTTAAGAAAATATGGTAATGGTCCTATAACACACAACAACATTTACTAAAACATTCATTGCTGAAGTTATGCATTGAATTTGTAATTCCTGCCGGCGCACAACAGTGAATGAAGAGAGGAAATAAAGTAAGCATTGCTACAAGACGTCATTGTGGTTGTTGATGCCCTTCCGTATTGCTGTTTAGCGGACCCACACTTAACCAAACACAAGTTAACTGTAACAGGTGATGACGTGCATCAAATTGTATCTCCCCGTCCCCACGTTGTTTACATGTCAAAGTTGATTCGATATTACATAGTGTGTTCCGATTATCGCAATTTTCGTGAGAGATGGTCAAACTTACAAATCAGAGTTTCCAAAAATTGAGGGTGATGAATCGAGAAATATTCTGTTTTGCACGTGCGGTATGAATTTCAGTGTTTTCTATTATAGTTATTGGTGTGCCTTGTGGTTTTCTTGTCACTACTTCCCAGTTCTCTTTTTTGTGAACATGACATTATTTTTGGTTCAACCTTGATTTCCGTGTCGATAGTCGTCAATGAAGTAAGAGACACGTTCACCTCCAGGACATGCACCTGGTCTTATTTTCCCTGTATTTTGTAAGGATCTCCATATAAATATTTCATAGCTCACTTTTTGACCTATTTTATTCAATTTCAATTTCAAATAACTGCTACGCTAACCAGTCATTATTTTTCTATCAACTCAATATGGCTCTTTACTAGAGAAAATGGTATAATTGATATAACCACATTGCCTTCATGTAATGTCATAACATATTTTCGTTTTCTTTTTAGAAAATGTGGATCGATTTTCTATTTGTATTGCGAAAAAATACAGGATTTTGTATTTTAATGCCAAAAATTGTTCATGATACTCCATTAAATGTTTATAGTTTGTTTACTAGTATTTCAGTCTAAGTGAGTGTGAGGATCACATTTCTATGATGACATATTTCTGTCATCCTGTTAATTTTATTTTGTTAACACGGCGTTTTACAAAAGTTGATGATTTAAATTCTCACGGATTTCTCCCTAAATTAGTTATAATGCAATCAACTTAACTTGTTCCATCAAAACATGTCAACGGACAATGCAACTTTGTAAAAAGAGGCGTTAACGACATCAAATAACACGACTTGTAGGCATGATATATTCTCAACACGTCGTGGTACAGTAAAGCGACCTGAAATAACTGGTTGAGAAATATGCCACCATACATATTCCCTCCATTAGTTAACGGTTTCTATGTATTAGTTAACACAATTTCTGTTGGTAAATACTCTCATGGCAAATACGTCGAAAGGGAGATAATTCTATAAAGTTTTATGCTGGCTACGATATGACGCCTGTGATAATTATAGATTACCACACTGTGTTTTCAGGGTTTGTCGTGAGAACATTTCTCGAGCGAGCGATGAGAAAATTGTTCGAACGACAAACACTGAAAATACTGTATGATAAACTATTTATCATCTATATACTACTACCTTATATAATTCTCCATTTAAAAAACTCAACTAAACACCATGTTTTCTAAGCTTCTAAGCTCAATGGTAACGATCGCGATCGCCTGTGACAAACGTAAACAAAGTTTTGCGCGGAGGAACACAATGAACCTTAAAACTACGTAGATTTTGTTTTTTTAAACAATCCTATCGTCATTAGCTTTTACATATGCACATTTACACCTGAACTGGTGTTGTTATTCTTACAATATTCTTCCATGATTTTGTATTGATATGTTTATGATGGACAATTTCCTTACGCGAATGACTTTTGTGTGGACACTTATTCCTGTTTCGGACGTCATCTGGCGCGAGTAGACGTTCCTTTTTGAGGAAATACGTTCCCAAGTGCTGGGGAACGGGAAAATCCGTTCTCGAGTTCTTCTCAAGTCGTTTTCAACCTCTTCTCATACTGACAACCAATGATAATGAATGTATCATGCTACCGGTAGGTGGTATAAAGTAGTATATAGATGATAATAATGATTACCACACTGACTAACTTGTTATTAAAAACAATTTATTCATTGCCTAACGATACTGCCAGTCTTACAACAGTTGTCATCGTGCACGAGGGCTCTCATTGATCCTTCATTCATCTATTAATTCATTCATTCATTCATTCAATTATTCATCTTCATGAACGTACGATGAGATGCAAACAGTTTTGGCAAATTATGAAAATATGAGTGAAATCAAAGTTATAGTCGGTATAACAGAATATGTGTTTGATTACACTTAAATGTAAGAAATACCATTGATTTCAATTGTTATTGTTTGAGTGATGAGTCTCCTCTTATACTGTACTTATGTTAATTTGCTCTACAGGGGCGAATTGGTATTATCCTCGAGGAATAAATATTGTCAAAGAAAAACACTTGAAAACGTTCCTTCGAAAGGAGATCAAATGATGTAAAATAAGGTTATTTAGTTTACATTGGGTTTTTAAAAAAAAAATTTTTAGCACAGCTTTGTTAAATAAAACACACATGTTCCCGCATATTATATCAAAACCAGTTGAAAAGGCTCCTAAAGTATACAAAATCAAAATCGAAATTGCTTAAAGCGAAAATTCAAAATTCACGAGAGTACTTCATTCATAAATTTTGGTTATTGATTCCTATGTTTAACTTCTTATTTCGTTAACATGTAGGTATATTAAATTCTTGTTCATCTTTAAGTAAAGGAGAAAGGCCGAAACCTGTCCATTCTGTGAGAGAGAATGGTCAGTTTGAGGCTTTTCTTCTACTTAAAACACAGTACCCCTTTCCGAGCATAATGGACAGCTACTGAACACCTTTGTTGAAATATTGGAGAGTCAGAGGTGACACCCATTCATTCAGCATACATGGTCATGCATGACAGCAGACAGGTACATTTACAAGGTGAGTGTATTTATAAATTCACATGCTTTTCATGTCCACACGAGATACCCTTAGCGAGCACTAGTTAGTGTAAGCCTGCTGGACTTTTCACTCAGTCCAGGTGTGTCTGTACAGGTGACAACATGTCCTCATCAGGAGATGACATCTTTGTAACACATTCTGTCTATACCACTGTTGAAAACAATGCTGAGGACGACGTACTCATGTGACATTTTTTCTGACATTTCTGATGAAGATACAATGATGAAAGTTACACAGAAACCACTGGTAAACGTTACCGAGCTCCAATGGATGAGAAGGATGTGAAAGATTTGGTCAAAAGAGGATATGCTATGAAAACAGAGGACAAAAGTCGATGGGTCGTTGCATTATTCAAGGCATGGCAAGTAGAACGAGAAGGAATTGAGGTCTCAGAACTACTAACAATGACTAACAAACAGTTAAATGATCAGCTACGATTTTCATAATTGA